GGCTTCCTGATGGGCAAACCCTATTGCAGCCATACCTACTGCAGCTTCTAGCTGATGGACCTTTTATTTATTTATTTATTTATTTTCGGTACTGGGCTTTGAACTCAGGACCTACACCTTAAGCCACTCCACCAGCCCTTTTTTGTGATTTTTTTTTTTTTTCCCAAGATAGAGTCTAGAGAACTATTTGCCTGGGCTGGCTTTGAACATCAATCCTCCTGAATAGCTAGGATTATAGGCATGAGCCACTAGCACCTGGCTTATAGCCCTTTTCTCTTTTGAGAAAGAGACTGCTGAGGGATTCAGATATTGTAAAATGTAATTATCTTTGATTATGGATATGATAATAGGCTGGAGGAAGATGATAGGGTTTTCAGCTAGGTGGCCATTTTCAAGGAGGCCACAGAGTCAGACCCTGCCCTAGGGTATAAAAATGGAAAGAGCAGTTGAATTATTTGTGGCTGGTAAGACCTTGTCTACCCATAGTACTGGGTGATGGGAGCGTGGCCTCGCTAATGGTGCAGAATTCCCAGGATGAAATATAAGTTGTTGGCCTTGTCCCTGATGATGGGCTTTTGGTAAAATTTAGTAAGTAAATGTCTGCAGATGATGCATGTGGCCACATATTCTGAGTTTTTCTCTATGTGCCTCTGGGTCCCAGATAAATGTGAGTTCAATTGAGTATACACACAGAACAGATGTCAGAGGCATCTGGGAGAAATTCACTTGGAATTTGAGCAAAAGGGGAAATCTGGATTAGTAGGCTTCAACCCCAGTTAACCTGTGAGTACTACTGACCCAGTTTACAAACTGCCATGAGTACAAAAAAACTTATTATATAATTCTTGTGTTGATATCACATTACAAGTTAGGGATCGAGGTCATATCAGAAACAAAGGATAACTGAGGCAACCAGCAAACTGTGATGGGTTGAGAAAAACTGATCAAATCCCAGGAATAAAGTAGCACAGGGCTTCCTTTTTGTTAGCTCAACTTGTTATATCAGAATAAAGTGTTGTGGCAAGCAATAAGTGATTCAGTTTTCTTGCTTGTCTTTTCTGGTTGACATCTTTGAACTTACTATTTTCCATAACCTAAGCCAAACATTTAAAAAACTTTGTTGACTTTTAAGACAGGGTCTTACTAGGTAGCCCAGGCTGGCTTCAAAAATTTTTTATTGATTTTAGAGACAAGGTCTCACTATGTAGCCCAGGTTGGCCTCAAACTCACGATCCTTCTGTCTCCACATAGAGAATGCTGGTGTTACAAGCACGTGTTACCATGCCTGGCTTCAAACATCTAAATTAAGAAACACTCTGAACATATTTGGTTGAAATAGATCAGACTTACAAAAGTTGACCAAGGGTGTTTATGGAAACATTGTTTGCAGAGAAACACCTGATTGAGATATCTTTCAATTAGGACTTCTCAAATAATTTACGATAGATCTATATGATGTAATAATATGCCATCAAACTAAAATGAGATGTGTGCTCTTATCAAAAGACCTCAAAGGGATATGGGCCATGTGGAAAAAGCAGTGTGTAGTTCCATGGATATGGTAGAAAGTCTTTGCCATAAAAAAAAATAAGTTTATAAGTAGACAAATTTTAATGGATCACTTCCATCAAATGACTGAGTAAATTTAAGGGAAAACCGTCCCTTCACTACAAACACATAAAATGACAGCTAGTATATTCCAAATATGTACTAAAAAGACAAGTCTTATTCAAAACACAAAAGCAAAATAAGTGCCTGGCATGGTTGTGCACATTTGTAATCCTAGCACTTAGGAGGTGAAGGCTGGAGGATTGTGAGTTCCAGGTCTGCCTGGGCTACACAGTGAATTCAATACCAGCCAGTGTTATATAGTGAAACTGTCTTTGAAATGAGAGCTGTTGAAACCCCAGCAGTACAGCAACTAAGAGATAGCATAGATAAATGGGACCTCATAAAGCTAAAAAGCTTCTGTTCATCAAAAGAAATGGTCTCTAAACTGAAGAGAACACCCACAGAGTGGGAGAAAATATTTGCCAGCTGCACATCAGACAAAGGACTAATAACCAGAATATATAGGGAACTTAAAAAACTAAATTCTCCCAAAACTAATGAACCAATAAAGAAATGGGCAAGTGAACTAAACAGAACTTTCTCAAAAGAAGAAATTCAAATGGCCAAAAAACACATGAAAAAATGCTCACTATCTCTAGCCATAAAGAAAATGCAAATTAAAACCACACTAAGATTCCACCTCACCCCTGTTAGAATAGCCATCATCAGCAACACCACCAACGACAGGTGTTGGTGAGGATGCGGGAAAAAGGAACCCTCTTACACTGCTGGTGGGAATGTAAACTAGTATAACCACTCTGGAAAAAAAATTTGGAGACTACTTAAAAAGCTAGACATTGATCTACCATTTGATCCAGCAATACCACTGTTGGGAATATACCCAAAAGACTGTGACACAGGTTACTCCAGAGGCACCTGCACACCCATGTTTATTGCGGCACTATTCACAATAGCCAAGTTATGGAAACAGCCAAGATGCCCCACCACTGACGAATGGATTAAGAAAATGTGGTATCTATACATAATGGAATTCTATGCAGCCATGAAGAGAAACGAAATGTTATCATTCGCTGGTAAATGGATGGAATTGGAGAACATCATTCTGAGTGAGGTTAGCCTGGCCCAAAAGACCAAAAATTGTATGTTCTCCCTCATATGTGGACACTAGATCAAGGGCAAACACAACAATGGGATTGGACTTTGAGCACATGATAAAAGCGAGAGCACACAAGGGAGGGGTGAGGATAGGTAAGACACGTAAAAAATTAGCTAGCATTTGTTGCCCTCAACGCAGAGAAACTAAAGCAGATACCTTAAAAGCAACTGAGGCCAATAGGAAAAGGGGACCAGGAACTAGAGAAAAGGTTAGATCAAAAAGAATTAACCTAGAAGGTAACACCCACGCACAGGAAATCAATGTGAGTCAATGCCCTGTATAGCTATCCTTATCTCAACCAGCAAAAACCCATGTTCCTTCCTATTATTTCTTATACTCTCTCTACAACAAAATTAGAAATAAGGGCAAAATAGTTTCTGCTGGGTATCGAGGGGGTGGGGGGGAGAGGGAGGGGGCAGAGTTGGTGGTAAGGGAGGGGGTGGGGGCAGGAGGGAGAAAGGACCCAAGCCTTGTATGCACATATGAATAAAAAAATAAAAAATAAAATAAAAAGAAATGAGAGCTGTTATCAAAGCATGTTACAAAGAGTTTGGAAATACCATGATAAAACATCTCACTATGTATAATTTAATAAATGCCAATTTTAAAAATAAAAAAAACAAGGATACTGGTATGATACAATTAAACCCCCATTCCCTTCAAGGCAAGATTGTCCTGTCATTCTGCTGCAGAAAGGCTCAAACCCCATAAGCCAGTGAAGAAAACTCTACTTTCAATATTTAAGTGTGACAGTGACTTTCATGTTTTGCAATGGTCTCCAGGAACTTCATATGCTTGTGTGTGTGTGTGTGTGTGTGTGTGTGTGCGCGCAGCTGGGGATGGAACCCAGACCCTCCAACATGATAGGCAAATTCTCCACCACTAAGCTACATACACTCCCAGCCCCCTCAAGTGTTTTTGTATAGGCAAATTTTATAAATGTATTATTAAATTACTTAATAGCCCCTTTATATCTTGCTTAGATACTCTTCTTCACTCCAAGACTGTAAACAAAACAACACCTCCTTAGGCCAGAGATGTGACTCGGGTAGTAAAGCATCTGCAGAAACAAGGACCTAAGATCAACCCCAATGCAAAAAAATAAAAAAATAAAAAGGCAGATCTGGAATTTATTTTGGTGTAAGAACGATGGGATTCCCCTTTTCTTCCTGGCTTACTAGTCATTTACTTGTATGCAATTCATTCAACAATCCATTCTGTCCAACATAGATTTTCATTGGGTTCTACATTTCTTACACGTATTATGTCTTTTTATTCCTATTAAATCTTGATATATCTTCTATGAAAACTACTGGCCCATAGGACTTTAAGTCTGGGCAGTGTAAGGACTCAGAGTGTCTATGGTCTAAAGTTCAGAAGCAGGGCTACTGGCTGAGGTTCCCCTTATTCAAGGCTGACCAATGGACCAGTAAGAGCAGTATGAGGAGTAGGCCCTAAATTACTGTGTTCATATTTCTTGAGGTTCATTTGATAAGGGAGGGGGAGGGTGCGGGGAGCGTGGCTTCCTTTATTTCACCCTAGTGACCCAAGCTTTCCTTGGCATGAGGTTTTAAAGCATTTCCGACACACCTTCTGCCAAAATCCAGTAGTCCCATCTTGCCTACGCCTCTGGGTGGACAGGATATAGACTGGATGGGATTGGGAGCAGTTCTTTGAGATGTCAAAGTTTGGGGGTAAAGGGATGTGGCACTAAGAGGGAGGCCCTATCCCGCGTCGGCCCCGCACCCCGGCAATTTCCTCCGCGCCCACCAGAAGGCGCCACGGCTCCCGAGTCGGCGGCGCAGAGCAGAGCCCAATCGCGCGGCATTGCGGTGTGAAAGCCGGGCGGCGGCCTGAGCCTTCCCGGCCCCGCGAGTGCGACACAGTGCTGGGAATCCCCGGCTTTGTTCTCGGGGCTGGGGCACGTCGGAGTCTTAACTCCGTGTACCCCCCCGCAGAAAACAGCCAGAACCGCCCCCCGCGCCGAGGTCTACAGAGCCCCGAGAATCCGAAGGCGGGAGGAGCCGGGCGCTCCGCGGAGGCAAAGCATCCTCCGCATTCCAGGCTCACGCCCAGCTCCCGCGTCAGGCCGCCCCTGGCCCCATGAGGACCCCCAGGCCAGGGCTGAGAGCCCGGCGCAGCCCGGACCGAAATCTTACGGTGGCCTTAGAGCGTTAGACAGGTCAGTGCCCTGGCGGGATGAGAGGCGGAGCTGGAGGCGGGAGGAGATGCGCTCGCGGGTCCCCAGCGCAGCCTAGCGAGGCCGCCCCAGGGGTTACCTCCGCTGGGGCATCCGATAGCTGGGGTGTGATTCTGCATTTTCCCTGACAGGCAAGGTATGGAGCCGCCCCTCTGCAGCCCACCCCGGCCCAGGTGATGGTCACACTGAGGAGTCGAGTGGGGGTGGGGGTGCGTGGGCCGGGGCGGGTGGCTGGCTTGGGGACGTCCGCTGTTCTAATAAAGCGGCGCTTTTCTACTCCTGAACTGCCGCGTCGAAACCACCGCAAGCCAAATGTCTCTTACATCTAGATGACAGGCCTCGGGTGTTGGAGGAAACTGAGATGCTGGAGAGGGCGAAAAGAATAGAGGCCTGGGAACCCTGAGGCCGGGAAGGGGGAGAATAAGGGGAGGGGTACGGAGAAGAGTGCAAATCCTAGAGCGATGTGTGGAATGGGGAGCGCCCTGGGGAGCTGGCTGGAGCCTTCGAGGTCGCCGGAGTTAAGCCCCTCCCTCTTTCACCTTCCCTCTCTCCCTTTCTCACCCCGCATCCTACCCCCACCCCAGGATGCGGCTGGGCCGCCGGGCCCTCTGCGCGATAGTCCTGCTGCTCGCCTGCGCCTCCCTGGCGCTCCTGTACGCGAGCACCCGAGACGCGCCGGGCCTCCGGACTCCTCTTGCGTTGTGGGCGCCCTTAGAGGCTCCCCCCAGGCCCGAGCTGCCAGACCTTGCCCCACAGCCCCGCTACGCACACATCCCAGTCAAGATCAAAGAGCAAGTGGTGGGGTGAGTGCGGACGCGGTGCAGCGCTCGCTATGGGGGTGGCCTGGGGAGCTTTTGTTTCCTCCACTGCTGGGCTCTGCTGCCAGCGTTCTCCTGACTGGTTGGGTGGAGTGAAGTGGGAGGTGGAGAGGGCTGCTGAGGCTTGTGCTGGGAGAAAATCTGTCCTCCCTGAACCTTGTCATGGTGATGGGAATGAGAGAGAGTGAGGCAGAGAAGGACCCTGAAATCCTCCCGGATGCCCAGATTCAGACTAGAGTTTCTAGAGTGATTCCTAATGGTGGGTAGGCAGCTCCTGAAATCCTATTCGACACCTCCGTGAAATCAGATTTAAGGAATGTGTCATCCCATCTGTAGTCCCCTCCTGGGGACTATTAGAAGAGCAATGTTTAAGGGGACAGATACTGGATAGGGCAGATTGAGGAGCCAAAGTGTGGGGCGCTGTGCGTTTTGTGGGATGAATGCAGCTGTGGCTGGGCTCTGAAGACCCCTCTTCCCTCTTCAGGCTGCTGACTCAGAACAACTGCAGTTGTGAGTCCAGTGGAGGGAACCTCCTCCTCCCCTTCCAGAGACAGGTCCGAGCCATTGACTTCACCAAGGCTTTTGACCCTGAGGAGCTGAGGGCTGCCTCTGCCTCCAGGGAGCAGGAGTTCCAGGCCTTCCTTTCAAGGTACCAGTGAAAAAAAGAGGCCATGACTCTGCCAGAGGAGGGCAGTGAAGGCTTACAGTGGCTGTGCCAAGATAGCCCCTCTCCTCCTGACTCCTCCTCTGTCCCCTCCTCCACTGCCAGGAGCCATTCCCCAGCTGACCAGCTGCTCATAGCTCCTGCCAACTCCCCTCTACAATATCCCCTGCAAGGCGTGGAGGTTCAGCCCCTCAGGAGCATCTTGGTGCCAGGTGAGGTTGGAAGGTCTAGGCCACCGTGGGGGGTGGCAGAAGTGGAGGTTGGTTGGGGAAGAATGTGAGAAAAGTGTTAGGGAGGTGAGGACTTCTGATGAAAGGGGGCCTTCAGGTCAGAAGGGAGTTTAGGAGGTGGGAGTTGAAGGCAGAAGGAACTCTAGGGTTGTTAGGAATTGCAGAAAACAATAACTGGGGAGGCTTGGGGAAAATAATCTGTTCTTTGCTGGCCAAAGGTTAGTGGATACATAGGGCAGGGTGTAAAAAAGATAGTGCTTTTTTAAAGGGAAGGAGTCAAAAATTAGTCACTGTAGGCTGTTGTGCAATGCTCTGCTGAGGCCTCAAAAAAAGGATGGGTGTCGTTCTGTGTTGTATGTGGTGCAAGAGGGGAGCAAAAATGAAGAATTCAGGGCTTTCTATGTAATTCTGATCCCATTCTTCCTCCCAGGGCTGAGCCTGCAGGCAGTTTCTGGTCAGGAAGTATACCAGGTGAGAGAAAACAGGACAGCAAGGAGGCCAGGTGGGCATGGAGAATGCTGAGAGGGAGGAAGGACCACCAAGGGAGGGATGGAGGAATCAGGGAGGCAAGAGGTGGGTATAGGACCTAACCGTGAACTCTCCAATTCCCTGTGCCAGGTGAACCTGACCGCTTCCCTGGGCAACTGGGATGTAGCAGGGGAAGTGACTGGAGTGACTCTCACTGGAGAGGGGCAGCCAGATCTCACCCTTTCCAGCTCAGGGTTGGACCAACTGAACCGGCAGCTGCAACTGGTCACCTACAGCAGCCGGAGCTATCAGGGCAATACAGCAGACACAGGTGGGGTGCAAGGACAGGCTGGACAAACAGAAAGAACCCAGAAAAGCTGCAATGGGCACATGGCAGAGTGTGGGAGGCACTTGAGCAATAGCTAGAGCTGCCCAGTCACACAATGGGTGTTTCAACTGGGCCAGCAGAGCCAGGGAGGGAGAGAAGGGACCTTTGTTCATATGGGGACAGAGCAGGTCAGAGGGAAACTGGAGCCTTGGGTGTGACAACCATGAAAGTCCCATGAAGTGACCTGCTCCTGGAGCCAGAAGTTTCAGGGCTCTATTCCCAACCTACCACTGCAAAGGCCTTAACTTCCAGAGTCCCCATTTGTCCTGTAGCAAAAGGGGCATAACATAGCTCTCCTGCTTCTCTGCAAAGCAGGTTTTTCTGACTGTTTGCTCTCACCTTAGGACCTTTGCACTTGCCTTGGCCTTGAATTCTCTTCCCCCTGATTTGCCCATGGCCAGCTCCTTCTTGTCACTTAGATCTGAGCTCAAATGCCTTCTCTGAACTATTACATTACTTGTCTTATTGGCTATTTAAAACTTACCAGTACCTGAAATTTCTTATTCATTTACCTGGGACCAGACTGAAAATGTTGTCAACTTTGTTGTTATGTAAATATGGGTGGGTTAAGGTACTTTTCTGTGCCTCAGGCTTTTTTTGTTTTGTTTTAACCTCAGAGCCTATACCTTGAGCCACTTCACTAACCCTTTTTTGTGATGGATTTTTTTTCAAGCTAGGGCCTTGTGAACTATTTGCCCTGCTGGCTTTGAACCTCAATCCTCCTGATCTCAGCCTCCTGAGTAGTACAGGTGTGAGACACTGGAGGCTGGCTTGCCTCAGGCTTCTTTTTCTGTAGTAGGGGCTTAATGGATTAAATCAATTCATATATTTAAGGTAATTTTTTTTGTGGTGCTGGGGTTTGAACTCAGGGCTTGTGCTTGCTAGTCAGGTGCTCTACCACTTGAGCCACACCTTCAGCCCTTCAAAGTAATTTTTTTAAGTGTGGCACATAGTAAATACTCAATAAAGTTTAGCTTTTAATTAACACCTACTTATTGTCTTTCTCCCACCATTAGCATGTAAGTTCCATGAGAGTAACAGCCTTGCCTATCAAGGCCTAGAAAAGTGGGACACACACCTGGTGAAGTGGCCCATACCTGTAATCCTAACTATTTGGGAGGCTGAGATAGGGAGGATCATGATTGGAGGCCAGCCTAGGCAAATAGTTCAGGAGACCCCCATCTCCAAAAATAACCAGAGCAAAACGAAATGGAGGGCATGGTTCAAGCCATAGAATGCCTGCTTTGAAAGTGTGAGCCCTGAGTTCAAATCCAGTCCTACCCAAAAAAAAGAAAAGTGGAAAATAAGAGTAAGCACTGAAATATTGATTGACTGAAAAGGAACTGCTGCTTAGCCTTGAGAGCACAAGCCCATGTCTTTTATTCTCAGTCCGATTCTCCACCGAGGGACATGAGGTGGCCTTTACCATCCGCATAAGACATCCCCCCAATCCTCGGCTGTACCCGGCTGGGCCTCTTCCCCAGGGAGGTGAGGCTGGTGGGAGTAGGGAAGTAGCAGATCCAGCCCTGCCCTGGCGGGGAGGGAGTTGGGAAAGGGCCACCTGGTGGGGAGGGGGTCCTTCCTGCAGTGTCTGCACCCAACCCTGGGCCTCACTTTCAGCCAAGTACAACATCAGTGCTCTGGTCACCATTGCTACCAAGACCTTCCTTCGTTATGATCGACTGCGGGCACTCATCGCCAGCATTCGCCGATTCTACCCCACCGTCACCGTGGTCATCGCCGACGACAGCGACAAACCTGAGCGTGTTAGCGGCCCCCACATAGAACACTATCTCATGCCGTTTGGCAAGGTGCGCAGCCAGCAAGGCTGAACCGGGCGCCCGAGGACTCTGGGAGGGGGCGCGCCTTCAATCTGCAGCCTCCAAGGTAGTGATTCGAGAACCACCTGCCTCAGAATCAAGCAGGTCCCTGCTCCGTGGGAGCCGAATCGTGCCTGCTGTGTTCTATCTGCATTCTTAGAATGGTGCTTAGTACCTACTGGGCACTCAAAATAACTCATGAATGAATGGACGGATGGATGTACGCAAGACATAAATGTACTCCAAGACCCTTCCCCAAAACAGACTCAGAACCTCCGGGAGTGGAGGGAGGTGGGAACCTGCATTTTTAAACCTAGCTTCTGGTCACTGAAAAGTACTCAAAAGTGTGGAGAAAGACACAAATTGTTGCAAGAGGTTAGGGAAGAGGAAAAAAGTTGGCGGAGGGAAGTGTCGCAGTTTACAGACTGCAACCAAACACACCTGTTTCCCCAGGGCTGGTTCGCAGGCCGGAACCTGGCCGTTTCCCAAGTAACCACCAAATACGTGCTGTGGGTGGACGACGACTTTATCTTCACCGCGCGCACGCGGCTGGAGAGGCTGGTGGACGTGCTGGAGCGGACGCCGCTGGACCTGGTAGGGGAGGAGCCGCGGCTTGGGTGGAAGAAGGGCCTTAATCATGCCAATGCCAAGGAGGGACAGCTGCTGTCCAGAACAGCCAGCCGTGGGACGGAAAGGGGCCGACAAAGTGGAGTCGGGGGGGGGGCACTCTGGATAGTACAGGAGTGAAGCGGAAGAGGATAGGACAGGGGAACCAAACGAGGGACAAGGAGCACAGACCTACCCTCTTAGGGTCGTCCTGGAATCATCCTTCCACTCTCCGCAGGTAGGGGGCGCGGTGCGCGAGATCTCGGGCTTCGCCACCACTTACCGGCAGCTGCTGAGCGTGGAGCCCGGCGCCCCAGGTCTCGGGAACTGCCTCCGTCAAAAACGCGGCTTCCACCATGAGCTCGTGGGTTTCCCAGGCTGCGTGGTGACCGACGGCGTGGTTAACTTCTTTCTGGCGCGCACGGAGAAGGTGCGCGAGGTGGGATTCGACCCGCGCCTCAGCCGCGTGGCACATCTAGGTGAGTGGTGCCCTTCTCCGCAGGGTTTAGGAGGAGACAGAGCGGCGCTGGGCGAGGCACGGTGCAATCGGACACCTAGGGCACGCGCCCCTTCTCCCCTGGGCCCCTAGGGCAGTTCTGAGACTTAGCAAGATCTGCACCCTGACGAGGGGACAGTTCTCCCACCCTCTCCAGTCCCGCACACCATGTAAACCTCCACGCCCAGCACAGCCTCCGGATTTGCCTTGAATTTTTCTGTCACTGTCATGACCACCTTTTCTTCATTCCCAGCCACATCCTCTTGTTCAGACTGCACTCGGGAGCAGCCCATCTGGCATTTATCGAACCTCTGAGAGTGTGTGGGTTGTAGGGGGTAGGTTTTCCGTTAAAGCAAAAAAAAAAAAAAAGTGTATGGAGTCCATTTTATACAAGAGTAAAACTGAAATGGAGAGGGGTTATGTGCCAAGGTCTTCGCACAGGCACTCTTTCCATACCCTCAATTTCCATTCCAACTTAGGGGTTGGCCCGTTCCACGGTCAGGACCCCTCACTGCCTGTTCTCCCTTCCTCCACCCCCAGAATTCTTCCTGGATGGGCTTGGTTCCCTTCGAGTTGGCTCCTGCTCTGACGTCATTGTTGATCATGCATCAAAGTTGAAGCTGCCCTGGGTATCAAGGGAGGCTGGGAGAGAGACTTATGCCCGGTACCGTTACCCAGGATCACTGGATGAAAGTCAGGTGGCCAAACACCGCCTGCTCTTCTTCAAACACCGCCTGCAGTGCATGACTGCTGAATGATGGTCACTTGGGCTTCCTGCCTGTCAGGCTCAGCCTGCCTCCTTATCCTTGCCAGGAATTTCCAGCAAACCTCTCCACCCCATGAGCACTCCACTGATGGCCCTCCCCTTCAGAACTTGATCCCAAATAGGGGCTTGTCCTGGTGACACCCCTCCTTTCAGTGAGTGCCCAGGAACCTAATGGAGCCATAACCTCTCCCACAGCCAGTGCCAAGTCCTCCCCCCACCCCATTCTATGGGGCAGGAAATGGGGGAGTTCACTTTCCAAGTGCCAAAGAGCCCAGGAGGACTCTTAAGACCCTCAAGTGGAAACACTCTCATCTCCTTGGGACTGAGGGGGTAGGGAAGCTCCTAACATGCAATCCCAAGACCCCCAGCTCTGGATCCAGCACTCCGTGCACCCGCTCCAGCCCACCCCCACAGAGAGCACTGTGACTCTGGAGATAGGTGGGGCTGGTGAACACATGGTGAAAGCCATTTTAACTTGTGTCTCTGAGCTGCTGTGGGTGTGGAGGGAGGGGCAGCAGCGAGCTACATGCAAATACCCGGACCCACTTCACAGACCCCAGAGGTTCTCAGCTTCATTTTATTACATTAAGTAAGGGAGCTAAGTGACCATGGCCTTCCTCTCACACATACTGTTGGTGCCCTCCACACTCCAAGCGACCTGGTTAGACCCACACTGTGCAAATCTTTGGACCAGTGAGCTCCTGGAGAAAAGAGGGGACAGGTTGGGAATAGATTAGGTATCACCTCCTCCCCCAAGATTTGGCAGTGCTTTGGGGACACTCCACCCCCTCTGGGATCCTTAGTTCTTCTATTCTTAACCCAGAGCTTGGCCCAGTCTCTTGACTTGGTCTTGAATGTACTAATCATCTCTACCGCATCTTCCTTCTTAAATCTTCCTCCTTGGTCCCTTTTCCAAATTCCACTCACCCACCCTTCCCTTGGTTTAGCCTAGCAGCCCCTGGCTCCCTCTCCTGATGCTACTACCTCTTACCAGCCTCTCCAGGGCATGTGCAGCTGCATCCTGGACACTCACAAAAAGTTGTTCTGGGGTCACTCTGTCCAGGAGTCCTGCCCGGGTCAGTGTCTCCAGTACTGAGGCTATATAGGGAAGGCGTCAGGCTCTGAAGCCCAAAATCCACACTGTGTCCTCTTCCCTCCCCTGTGCATCCACCCATTCCCCAGTTTCCAGCCCTTCCACCTTCCACACCACTCACCATTACACTGAGCCAAGAGAAGGTGGATCCCAGCATCCTGGCATCGGCTGGCTAGCTGTAGGGCAGAGAGGTTAAATCCCAAGTCAGAGGGGATGGGTGAAATGATAAGGGACTTCTCTTCAGCCTACCTACTCCCTTACCTGTGCTACTTCCTTGGCTCCAGCAGCATCTGCAAAGGTGACACCACTGAGGTCTAGGATCACCACTTTGACAGGCTCAGCAACTAGGATGGGACAAGGCAGGAGTACTTGGATACCTCCATGGGTCATGCCCAAATCTCCCTCCTTGTCATCCCATCTCACCTGTGTCAGATAAGCCATCTGGCTTTGGAGAGTCCTATAAATAGAGAAGGGCAGTCACCAACCCAAGACATGGGTATGAATATGTACCCCTTAAGCACAGGATCTGCCTCAGAACACACACCTGCCTCCCAATCCCAGAAGATCCACACTGCTCCTTCACTAAAATCCTCACCTTGCCTCTTTCTCCAAACCCCAGATGCCACTCCAGGATGTGGCGAAACTGCCCACGGGTCCCAAAGTAGAGTGGTGTTGGATAGCTCAGGATGCAGAGACCAGGGACCTGGAGGAGCTATGGGGTAAGATGGTCAGAGAATCATCTAGATCTAATCTCCCTTTTTTCTTTGGCTGAAGTCCACCCACCTTGTGGCTCTCTCTGAGTGGTCTGTAGAGCTCGGTCCCTTCAGCCAGTCCAAGTGCCAGGCATTGCACCCTAGGAAAGAAGTTGAGGTCAGATTCCCAGCCTAGCCTGGTCTGGCTAGAGTCACCCCCAAGCACCCTGTCCTCTCCTCTTCTCAACTCTATTCATCTCTACACCCACCTCTGGGTTCGGCAGACCACAGTCATCATGGAGAAGACCACGCCTACAGCCAGGCCCAAGTCCACATTCAGAGTCACTACAGCTACCCACGTGACCATCCATACAGCCTACAGGACATGGATTGGGGTGGGTTGCCAAGAAGAAAGACTGGGATCCACAGGCAGTGAATATCAGGGCAAGTGATGGGGAGGGATGGCCCAGGAGAAAGTAGAATGACCTTAGACCGTGTGCCAGTTGGGAGGTTATACATATTCAGGTCGAGGCTGAGCATGTAGCCCAGTAGTAGAGCACTTGCCTGACGTGCAAGGCCCTGGGTTCAATTCCAGTATGGCCAAAAAAAAAAAAAGCCCTCAAACAAATAAGGTCTGAGGGGTTCACCCCAACCCTTTCCCTTGTCTCTGAGGTATTTGTGTTGGAGGTGGGTTGCTTGCAGAACTTAGGACCAGGATAATTAGCTTTGGTCCAGGGCAGAGGCTAGGGATGCTGGAAAGATGGGAAGGGGTAATCTGAGAGTAATGTTGCCATTTCTCACAAAGTCCATGCGGCTCATTTGCCATAGCTGTGGAAGTTCCTGCATCTGGAAGAACATCTGGCGCATGCTGGAGATATTGATGCAAGCCAGGACAGCCTTAGGGCAGAGGAAGTAGGTTGACTAACCCCATTGTCCTGGACGAGTCACCCCTCCTCAGGAATGCCCATGTCTCCTCTGTCCCATACCTTGGGCAGATAATAGAAGAAGGGCCCCAGCCACAGCAGCACGGACAAGACCACTATGCTGGAGAAGAGGCCTGCCAGCTATAGGGAAAGAGGGACAGAAGCAGGGAAGGGAGGGAATCTCTCATTCCCCAACTCCTGTGGGAGAACTGGTCTCCCTGCCCACTCTGCCTCATCTTTCTTGGGAGTCTCTCTCTTCCCAAGTCTTCCACACAGATATTCATTTCTCATCCTCCTTGATATTCTGCCATTCACACTTACCTCTCCATCCAGTCAAATGCTTATCATTCACCAGTCTCCCCTGGTTGTCTGCAGCTCAAGTTCCCTATTTTTGTAGCCCACCTTCATTTTAAAAGTCACTGTTGGAGTGCTGGCAGAGTGGCTCAAGTGGTAGAGTGCCTGCCTAGCAAGCATGAAGCCCTGAGTTCAAACTCCAGTACTATAAAAAAAAATTCTGGCTGGAGTTGCAGCTCAATGTTTTACCATGTGTCTAGAATGTGCACGACCTTGGGTTTGATCCGCAGCATTGCCAAAAAAACAACCAAAGCCACGGTTGGATGACTCTACAAGCAGGCTAACCACCTACCTGGGGCTGTAGCAAAGTAAGGGAAAAAATATTAGGGGGAGACTAATATGTGATATTTCTTAAAAGAAAAAGTCCTCATGGAAAAAATCAGAATTTTATCCCTTAAACTTACTTTATAGTTTAGTAAATTACATCTGGGGCACCATAAACTTTTTCAGTGCTTAGAAGCTACAAAGGTCTTCATGGATCTTGTTATCGCCTATCTCTTCTCTCTATAATCCCATCCTCTCACTCACTCATCATTCTCTACATAGATACCACTAAGGTATCTACCACTCTTCCATCTATTTCTCCAGTACCACTGCCCGGGGCCTAAATGTCTCATCCTTCCTCCTCTTCCAAGAGCGCCCTCTTACCTGTGTATTCCCACCAGCATCCACTAGTAGGCTGGTAGTGGCCAGGGTGGCTGAGTTGGGAAAGCAAGAGAAGAGGGATGAAACAAGGTTGGAGACACCATGGGCCAATAGCTCCTGCAGGGATGCAGTGAGATGAAGAGGAGAGAGACAAAGGCATGGGGAAGTAAGGTTAGGGGGCCATCTCTGAATGAGGCTAGAGATCCACAGTCAGAGTCGCACCTGGTTGGGGTCAATAGTGTAGCTATACTTGTCTGCATAGATGGAGGCTAGGGAGGTGGACACAGCAAAAGTCACCAGTGCGATGGGCAGGGAGTCAGCCAGAATCCTGGGCAGCTCAGCCATGTTGGGGAGGAGGGGTTGGGGAAATCTGGAGAGAGAGGAATCCCTGGTGAGGAGGTGTTGAATATTACAGGGAGATAGGGAAGGGGGAGTAAATAGGATGGGGCAGGACAAGAGGAGGTGGTTGTGGGAGACAGGAGAGAAAAAAAAGCTGGTGTGTTTTCATACTCTCTTACCCTCCAGGCAACAGCCCCACTACCTGGACATTGTATCTTGTGTCCAGGGAAGAGGTGAAACACAGCACGGAGGCCAGAAGCACCTGGGGGAAGACAGCAGCACATTAGGATCTAGTAGGAGATGGGCCCCTGAAAGAGGCTAGAAGGGGTTCAGCATGAGAAGGGGTTCCAATGCAAGACTAGGTGGTCACAGGAGTCTAACAACTGGTGGAATGGCCACCTGACAACTCATTTAGAGTGAAGGAGTGTGGGGAAGGGGAAAAGCCATGAGGTATGCCTGGGACCAGGGAGAGTCAGGCCAGAGGAAGTAAGAGGGGGCTCCCGTGGGTGTGGTGGATATCAAAGACGCAACTAAGCCATTTTAAGTAGGGAAGTTGGTTGTATCTAGGCAAGCGAGGGTCTGCAGAGACATAGAACATTTTATACTTGGGAAGACAGAGGGAGTAACACTGAATTACAGTGAAGGATCCTGTGAGGAGAGAGAAGACAGGAGGTGCTGTGGCCAGCAAGACCGTAAGGTGGCGCTGTATGGAGAAAGAAGGCATTCTGAGAGGTCTAGAGGGGGTTCCGTGAAAGAAGCGGGACACTATAGGTGGGGGATTCTGGTGGGTCAAGGCCTGGGAAAGTACGTGTGTGAGCAGGACCTCTCGCCTGTGACTTCTCTGCGTTCCACAAGGGGGCGGCAGCGGCCAGATCCTAACGATGGGCAGGGTCCGTGCAGGGCAGGGAATCGGGACCCGCGGCCATCCTCACCATGACGACTTCCCCGGGGATCGGGGTGGGTAGCCTGTCTCGGAATCTCACGTTCAATTCCTTGACGGGCACGAGCAGCGCCAGGCTGAGCGCCGAGATGGTCAATTCGGCCGGACTACTCCGGGGCAGCGCCGTGAGCACGGCGGCCAGCGTCTGCGGGCAGAGGCGTGAGCAGAAGTGCCCTTGCCAGAATTGACTGTCCCCTTCCCTCCTCAGCCCCAACCCATCCGACTAAGGCAAAGCTCTCTCTCCGGCTGTCATCAGGGCTTCCACCTCTGCAGCGCCCTCCTGCGGCCACAGTTCTAAAACCCCTTTCCTTCGTGCTCATCACACAGTCCCTCCACCCCTCCGTCCTTCCTCCCCTTTTGAGTGTCCCTCTTCCAGGGACCTCCACAGCCTCTTTCCGCTGTTCTCCCATCCCCACCTTGAAGAGAGAGAAGCAGCCTATCTGGCGCGGGAGGGACAACCCCAAAAGGCTTGGCAGCTGGGACACGAGCACGTGAAGCGCTGCACCGCTGGTCAGCGCCTTGACCACAGGCTCGGACAAAAAGGTGGACAGGACGCCGAGCTGCAGCGCAAACATCCCCAGCTGCCAAGAGAGAAAAACGCGCAATCACAAACAGAGGTGGGGCAGACCAGCCAGAGCACAGTGCACCAGCTTCCCCCAACACCCCCCCACCCCCGCACCTCTGCCCCACAGGATCTGAGTAGGAGGCTTCCCACCCCCCCACTCCCCCGGTCCAGTTCCTCTGGTCCTCTTAGATCTAACTTAGATTCATCCTCTAGGGCCCTCCCTCACCATCAGCACCCCGCTGCCAAAGGCCACAGCTGCTGCTACCCCAACCCGCTGAGCATCCAACTGTTCCCTCTCAATTCCGCTCAGGTTTCCTGCGACAGGTTCGGGCACCAACCGCTCTACAGCTGAGCCGGTCATGAGGCTGAGTACTGCGAAAGTTCCTGGAGTCAGAGGACAAATGTTGGAATCAGTGGTTGTGCCACCCCCGGCAGGGAAACAGAACAGGCTCCCCAGTTCTGGAGCCTGGAATGCTGCTGTCAGACCCTAATCTTTTAGAAGGCAATAGCCAGGATGAAGACAGTGGGACGTGAGCTGGCCAGGAACTGGGGCGGGAGGTGGGGGGAGGGCGGCTGGGAAGATAGCCGCACCAGCCACAAACAACAACAACAAAAACCCCTTCTGTTGACTCCTAGTGTGCTCCTGTAGGGGAGGGACATCTTTTCCTTCAATTCTGGGAGTTGTTCATTTTAGCCAAGGGGGTGTCTCTGCACCCACTCCAACAGCTTTGCTTAGGTCAGAGTTCCATGGCAGAATGGTGGCAAGAAGGGGAGGGAAGGTAGAAAAAGTGAAAGGAAGATTCAAACCCCTGTCCATTCTCACCCCACAAAGAAAGGAGTCATGGGCTCTGACCACTCACCAGTGGATAGGTGTCTCCCAGTGCCCAGCAAGCTGTAGATGAGGACTGGGAAGAAAGAAGTGTAGAGTCCAAACACCGGGGGCACAGAAGTCAGGAGTGCAAAAGCCATGCCTGAGGTAGAATGGAAGGAAGGGTCTGGAGTGGGTATGAGGGGTTGGGGGTGCAGGTGGGGAGGACATACAGCCTCCAGGCCCACCTGTTCCAGATTCTTAGGCTGGCATCAGGGATGGCAAATCATGCCAAATGAGGAACTGAAGGGTTAATGGGCCTCACTGGGAGATCATAAGGTTATCAAGGTCATAGATCCTTGTCGCCAGCGTCCTGGGGGGCAGGAATAGTGCCTCTCTCCAATTCTCTGAGCCAGAACCAGTCCAAGACGTCTCGCAGGATTGCGCAGATAAGGAGGGATGGGGGTGGAGATCTGATGGAGCTCCACAGTCCTCCCCTCAGAATTTGGCCGCAGATCCTTCTCTCAGGGACACTAACCCACCACCTCACCCCCGAATTCCCAGCTCCCCATGCTTTCTCCCTTAAGTCCCCTAGATCTTGAAACCCCTGACAGGCTGGTCTTGGGAACTCTCACCCTGGGGCACATGCACGACGCCCACGGTCACTCCGGCCACCGCATCCCCGAGCAGCCAGGCCCGCCAGCGGTAAAGAGGTAGCCAGCGCAGTGGGGGCAGCCGTGCCAGCAGCAGGCGCCATGCCCCCGACCCGGAACAAGTGCTGGCCTGGCCCCTCCACAGCCTGCACAAACGGGGCAATCTGGGCTCTGCGGGTAGCTCCAGCTCCTGCTCTGGGCCCCCAAAGAGCTGCTGGAACCGAGCCTCGGTGAGAGGTTCCCTGAGCCTGGTGCCTAGGGGGTACTTAAGGTTGGAGGCTTCTTCTGGGGCTGAGCAGGTCCTGCCGCCTAGTAGCCCACTCATTTTGCCCTTGCTTCCCCTCCAACGCCTCCGGGTTTTAAATACCCGTCTGCGAGCTAGCTCTGAGTCCCGCCCCCATGAAACATTGTCCAATCCCTCCCTGAAGGGCGCCTTCTCTCGGGGATCTTCTTGGGTCAGGCTGAGGAGGAGAAAGTCTGTATGTGTTTCCTCAGATATTCTTAGCCGGATATGACTGCTCCAGCGCCCAAGGGCCTTGCTATGAGCTTAATTGAAGAAAAGTGCAGAGATCAGACAGGTCCAAAGGCACTGGTTGCCACTCCTAAGGTTTTTGATCCCCAGCTTTTCAGGCTAGTTCGTTCTCCATCTGCACTTTGAGCAGAGACAAAGGCTGGTTCCTGCATGGGTCCTGCCTTGAGCGTCTGCATCTTGGCAGCTAAAGGAGCAGAAAATTCCTCAAAGGTTGGGATCCCTACCCCAGACCCAAGTCCTCAGATGGCAAGCTTGCCCCAGCAAAGTGTAAGAGGCTTTACTGGCTTCCACAGTTTCATAAAATACTGAAATGGGAAGAAGCTTACATGTATTGGTCAGGGACAATGACAGAGACCCACCACCCCATACCTTGAGAGAGTGGCTGGAGCTAGTTTAGGAAAATACTGAACTGACAGGAAATTTTGGTTTTACTTCTTAGGAGCCAAGTACTAAGTCTCACATTCAAGTGCTATTCTCAACGTAGGAATGCATGGTTAAACTAAGTACAAAAGGGTCACCCATCCACCTCATGTACCCCTGTGACTCTATCAAAGTAGCTTGAAAATGAACTTCAGAATCCTGCTGTTTGCTGCCATCCCCTCCTCCATTCACAAGAATCTTTGGCACCACTCCCCATCACCCTGTGGTCCCCCAGTCCCTGACCCTAAAGCCCTAGGGGTGGGGTACAGAGAGGGTGGGTCCCCCCTCTTCAATTCCTCCTATTGTTCCCCAGAAATCTTATCTGGGCCCATGTCCTGTCCCCCCCTTACAGATCCCTCCCTTTATTGTCGGCTAGAGGGACCTGGGGCCCACAGGGAGGCTCCAGCATCTCCTCACCCTCCCACCCCAGCAGTCTATTGTCTGTCAAGGAAGCCCCAGCACACGTGACCAAGCCCAGGGGAGGAATGGACACAGGGACACACAGATATACAAGGACCTAGAACAGGGCATCTGGATCTGTGTGTCTGGCTCTCTCTATTCCAGAGACCATACCAGAAGTTGGGAGGGGTGAAGGTCTCCTAGGGATCTCCACTGTTGGATCCCAGTTTGAAGAAGAATCCTCGCCGGCTCAGTGTGGACATGCCTTACTACCTCCCAGACAGCAAAGGAGACCCGGGCTCCTTCCCACCTTCTCATTCTCCCTCAGCTGAACATGGGGGCCTCGGAAGGAAAGGTACACTGGGTATCTTGTTCCTTAGTATCTGCATGTTGGGGGGAATGTCAGGAAGTTATGTACACTTGAGTATTCCAGTGGGTCTGGACCAGAGGACGGGTGGGTGGAAAAGAAGGGCTGGATAAAGGGAAGAATACATCAAGGATCTAGAGTTTTCGCTCTTGGCTCTCTCTGCTCTCTCCCTCTCCCACCCAGCAATAAAGAATCTCTTGGCCAGATCACTCCTCTCCACGTGGTCATTTTGGGGCCTATATTTCCTTACATTTGGTGCCATGACTCGGGGCGGGTTCCCCACTAATCCTGGTGGGACCCCGATTCTGACTCACCCCACGACCACCCTGAGGACGTGACTGGCCAGGACTCATCCTCCCGATCACCCTTGCTTGCATCCAACACCGGACATTCTTTGGTGAGTCCACCTACCCTTCTTGGGCTCCCTTTACGGTCTCTCCCTTTGGTGTCTCTGGGGAGAGAGTCCCATGCTTTGGGCTATCTCTGGGTGGCTCAGACGGTAGAGAGATCCCCTTCTCCGCAGGGTTTGGATTTTACAGGGTCCGGGACCCTACATCAAGGATCTAGAGTTTTCCAGTATCCCTAAGCCCCAGTTCTGGACTGAGAGTTCTGGACTAATGCTACAATTTTAGGTGAAGGATAAAGATAGCAACATCTTTTGTCTTATACTCTGTGCCCTTATCCTTTTATCAGGCCCCTCCTCAAATGAATGGGGCCAGCTGATATCTTCCATACCACTTCACCCATCCCACCTCCACTGCAGCCTCTTCATTCCTTGCCAAGACAGCAGCCTTGGTGAAATAACAAAACCTTTATTCGCAGAAAACAGAAAAAAAAAAAAAAGATCAAAACCAAAACCAATAATTTCTATCTGGCCCTTGCCTCATCCCTCCCTTCCAACCACCCATATATCTTCCTTTTGAGAGAACCGATGATGCATGCATATGGGTGGAGCTGAAGGATCCTGTGTTCCTTGGGCAGAAAGAAGTCCTTTTGGGTCTAAGTACTCTCCTCCAAGTTGACATCTCTCCCAGTCTTGCCCATCCTCCAGACACTGTAAGAGGGAGGAATTCTGGAGTGGTGCCAGAAGGATTGCCCTGAAGTTCCTTAGGGAACAGGTGGCTGAGTCAGTACCACCCCCATGGCCTTCACCAGTTACAGCTCATCTTCATCCAACTTGGCAAGTCTGGCCTGGCAGGGAGGGGTGTTCGGAGTTGGAAGGGCTAAAGGAGACTCATAAGGAACCCGGAGGGTGTCACTGAGAGCCTGAAGAAAGATTCAAGTCAAAGGATCAACAAAAGTCATCAATCTACCATCACTCTTCTCTTTTCAGTTTAAGACTCCTAGCCAAGCCACCTCCTCTCACCCCAGAATTCCACCTGAGGGGAAGAAAGTAAGGAATGGAAAGTAAGAAGGGACATACAAAAGGAAGATGGTAGAAGAAAGGAATGATGTGGGGGAGGGGGATTTGGGGTTCTTGGAACAAGAGAGGCCCTCCTCATTCTACCCCTACAACCAGGAAACTATACTCCTCATACCTGTGTGTCCAAGGGTAGGGGAGCTCTGGCCACTTCCTCTTTGGGCAACAGTAGCAGGGAGGGAAGAGAGCCATTGATGGATGCATGTGTGCTGGTCTGGGACTGGTCTCCAGGCCGGATTCTCCCAGGGCTCCCAATCCCAGGCCCTCTTGGCCGCCCCAGGCTGTTAGTCTGGCTCTCCCGTCTCTGGTACTCAATGGGTGACTGCAATGCTGGGGAAAAGAGAGGAACAGAAGAAGGTTACATCAGAGAAAGGTGCCTTTCCCTAGGGACTCTGCTGGGGCCATCCTTCCATTTTTCCCTCCCTCCCAAGTCAGCTGGTGTAAAGAACTTGAGGCTTTCAGGGATTCTGAATTACCAAATCTTGAGCTGATAGTGGAAAAGTAGGAGTGGAGAGAAGCCAGGCTAAGAGGGAAGGTTTGGAGATCAGGAAGAGAGGAATTCAGGAGGTCAAAAGGCTAAAGAAAGGTGTGTACAAGGGAGGATGAGAGCTTCACCATTGAGAAAGTCCCGCTGGCTTTCCAGGATCTGAGTCACTTGCTTGATCCAGGCCTGACTGACTGCAGGGTCTGAAGCCTGAAGGACATAGCGGTGGATCCCACCCTCTGGGCCTCTGTTGGTCAGTGCAAAACGGCAAGGGTCACCATGGAGGTTCCCTTCCAGTCCCAGGCAGCTCACCTGAATTGGCAAATAGGAGATAGTCCTCATATTCTTCAAGGCCACCCAACAAGTCCAAGAGCCAGGCATCTTCTCGGAGGCCTCACCCCATACAGAGCCCTCCCTGCTGGCCCCTCCCCACCTTGATGCTGTTCTTGTACACATATCCAGGCTGTGTGCCACCTCGCACTCCTCCTCCCAGCGCCTCACTGAAGATGATGATTTGCTCAAAAAGGAAGACACGCCTCTCTCGACCCCGGGAAGAGAGCAGTCCCCCAGCCTCAGGCTCTGTGACCAAGAATGTATCCTGGCCCAAGAGCTTCCCCTGAGCAGTCAGTTTGCCCTGGAACCAAAGGATATGGCCTTTGAGAATGTGCAAGAAGAGGAAAAGAACAACTGTTGGCTGCTCTCTCCTTCACTCCCCTGACACTCCCAACCATGAGTCAGCCCCAGAAGAAGGTAAGCCCCCAGAAGAACCTCCACAGTGCTAAGACCTGGGCACAAGAGCATTGGACCGCTGGCTTCTTGCCCCATCTCCATACCTCAAATCCCCGCAGTCTCCCCAGTGACATCATATCGTTGCAGCGCTTGGGCACAAAGCACATGACCTCCACAGCTTGCTATGGATGCAGATGAAGAGGAACATGGTTGGGCAAAGACAGTGATTGTTGGTAAAAGAGATCTCCCCAGCCAGCTGACCTGTCACACATATCCACCACAACCAGCCTCCCACCGTAGGGACTGGGAACCCACAGGACTAAGAGGACAGGTGAACATGGTGTGTTCTGGAGGTTCTTAGGATCCTCACCTTCAGTTCTTCAGTATCCATCCCAGCTCTACTGTAATACTTGAGGAAATCCTAAGACATAGAGAAGAAGTGCTCAGGGAGAACATCAGCACGTCCTCAGAAGTTCTTCACCATCTTCCCATGAGATTTCAGGTGTGAAGACCACCCAAGAAGTCTGGGGATCCTCAAGAACCATGGAGAGGTGACTGGGGAAACAGCTGTCCCAGCTAGCCATACCCTCAAGGAAAAGGTGGTCCTGACCTTGAGCAGCAGCTGGTATTTCATGATCCTCTGCACAGGTTTGATGAGGAGGTCATTGAGCTGCAGGCGGTGCCCCAGCTGCTGTCTGAGCTCCTGGGGACAGGGACAGGGTGCTTATGCAGCCTGGAAAGCCTGTTAATGTTGATTCTGTTCTCTTTTCCCCAAGGCGCTTCAGTCACTGACCTCAAAGTAATTGTCCCCAAACTCTGACACCACGTGCTCTGACTTGGGCTTGTTCTGACAATACACCACGTACATATGCAGCCGGCGCTCCTATTAGACGTAATATTGAAGAGAGAGCAGGGTGGGCCAGGATCTAAGGCACATCTTCAAAGAGCCCTAACCCATTTCCAAGCCCCTCCCCTCCTAAGCTCCACCCCCCAAGCCTCACGTGTTTGATGAATAGCTGAGCCAACCAATCAGGATCCTTCAAACTCCGCTGGAGTTCCTGCAGGAAATAGCTGGGAGGGTTGGCAGGGAAAGACAGATCAAATACTTTTCAAACCTTTACCTCCTTCATACATCCTGGATTTTGAATTACTGTGCCCTAGTTGTTCTCCCCACAAAACTTCTCCAAACATTCTTTGGGTCACAATGGGCCCAGTAATGAATACAGAGACCAAGAAGGAGATGAATATCCCTCCCCCAGCACCCGGCTTTCAGGGCTCCACCACTCACTCTCGGTGCCACTCATAGATTTGCTGGATGTTCCCAAACACAATCCTGTCACGGCCTCGAAGACTCTCGGGGACCCCCTGAGCGGCCATGGTGGCCATGTAACCCTGTGGGAAGGTTGTGGTCAAACCATGTGCATGTATCCCCGGTCCTGTGACACCCGCCCCCCGCCGGAAGTACAGAAGCAGGGGCACTCGGAGGCTGGGGCACCGGAGTACCATCGCATCTCCTGAAAACAACCCCAGCAGAGGGAAAGGGCAGATAGGCCAGGCTATAAGGGGGTAAAGGAAGCTACCTCCACAATCTGCCCCAAGTCGTCCACATACATTTTCTCTGTTTCTACCAGTTCACTCAGGACATACCTAGAAAAGGAGGAAGGAGTGCCCTCACTTCAAAGGCTGGGTACATTCTTGGTTTAGCCAGTTCCTTCCTCCTGCACCAGAAGCTCCTTCATCACCACAGTCAACTTCAGGAGCATTCCACCCAAAATATGAAGGATGGTCTTGTGAAAGTTCTATAACTGGGGCAGGGCAGGATGAGGTGGTTGGTGTGTGTGTATACTTACATACTCCTTTCCAGAGCCTTCTTCTTTCGCTGCTGCTCAGTCTCAGGGGCTTGGGACAAAGTCTCTTCTTCAGCTGGCTGGAAGAAAAAAAACCCTGGGATAAGCAAATGAATCCCTTTTGGGTGAGGGAAGCCACCTCAGATCCCTTTCTTTCCTACCTGTAGCTTAGCTCCAGGACCTTCCAACAATGTGGTCAACAAAGTCAGTTCTGGCAGCTCCTCTCCTGTGGCTAGCACTGGCTCTAGCATCCAGTTCTGGGTCCAGAAGTCAAGTGTCAGAGGTCACAAACAGAAGCTGGGTCCCCCAATGACCAGTGGCCCCAACTTGCCCTCCTTCCCAGTGTCCTTCATGGATGCTTTACATGCTTCTGTGGCAGTCCCTGCTCACCTCATATGGTCCTGCTGGACCACTGTCTGCCTCAGTTTCCACACTGAGACAATGTTTGGAATGATCCAACCATCTTCTCAGGCCACCGACTGGTCCCGGGGTGCCCGGGGAACAAGGGCGAGAGCTGAGGCCAGAGCTGGGGCCAGAGGGGGCAGCCAGACCCGAGGCAGCAGAAGCTGATATACTCCCCTCACTACCAGCAATGGAATAGGATTCTAACGGAGGGGAAAAAGGAAGGAGGTAATAAATACTGCCTCAGCTCCTGACTGAGAATGTTCTGGGAACTCCCAGGATGTCCTTCCCATGGTAGTCAGTCTCTCTCTCTCCTATCTCAAATGAGGATGGCTCCCCAGGCCTGAAGCCCCCAGTTACATGTGGAGGGTCCCCATATTCTGAGCAGAGCAGAGAAACGGGGGTGAGGGCAGCCATCTGGGCAGAAACTGGATGCTGGGGATAGCCATCTGCTCTCCTTCAACCCTCCCCCTTTCAATGGGTACAGATCATTCTCAGGGAAAGAGGTGGGGGGAAAAAAGAGCTAAGAGTCCATCTGCCACCTCCAGACCCCTCCTCCTCCAAAGGCTGCAATCACTATAAAAAGAAAAGACTTCAGCAGCCCACCTCCCCAAAACACGCACACCCAAGTAAGAGGCCCAGTGAGACCTCAGCAGGGTTATCTTTGGCCATCAATTGAGAGGAGCTACAACTGAGTCCTTATAAAGCCCCCTGTAGAATTCCCCTCATTTCTCATTCCTCCATTCCCCTGTCTTCTTCAGAAGTAGATTCTCAGCAAAATGATTTGAGGGAAGGTACGCGTTTCTCAGTCCAAGGGAATTGTGGGTGAGTTTTTCTCACATCTAGTTGACTCTAAGAAAGCGATGAGTCCTCTGCCCCTTCCCCAATTCCTCCAATTTGACCTAATAGAAATCTGGAAGCAGAAGGGACCTTAGAGATCATCTACTAAGTCACTTTCGTAGAAAACACACATACGTGCTTCAACTCTACATCCTTAAGGCCAGGGTAAATGGAGCCCACCCCCCCCATTCAACACTGGGCCCCTGCGACCTCGCACTCACCACGTCCCCCCCGGGCGAAGCAGCAGCCGCATTTTGCCAGCACTTTTCGAATCACACGGGGACAGGCACAGCGACCCCCTTTGTGCACCCCCCGCATGGCGCCTGTGCCCCCCCGTGCCCCCCACCTGGGCCGGCCATGCAGGGGGAATCACGGGGGGGGCGGGGAGGGGACGGCGCAGGGCGCACACCCCCCCCTCCCTCCTACCGGGGTCCAGGCTGGGGGAGGAGGGGAGAGAGGGAATGGGGAAGAGGACTCCAGTAGTAGATGCAAGTCTGGTCTGGTGAAGGGCTGGGGGCTCTGGAGAGAGGGCGGTGCAGGCCCGGGCCGCGGAACTGGGCGGGGAAGGTTTCCGGAACCCCGTCGGTGCGGGGCCCAGGGTCCAGAGAGCCAGCCAGAGGGAGGGATGATGGGGGAGGCTAGGCCGGGATGCGGCAGCCGCTCCAGCTCGGTCTCCGGCCTCTGGTTGGGGGTGGCTCTAGGCCTGGGAGAGGAGGAGGCGGGGGCCGACTCCCCAAGCCACTGGCGCTGCGCGGGTCCTGGCCGAGTGGCAAGCGGAATAACAGGCCCCGCAGCAGTGCGGCCGCGGGGAGGGGCTTCTGCGGCCCAGCTCCGCCTCTCCCTCGCGTTCCCACTCCTGCCCTGGCCGGGTTCCCGCCCCAGTGCCCCTCCCCCAGATACCACCGCGTTCCCACTCCACGTCCCCAGCCCCTCCACCCCTCCTCGCAAGCCTGTGCCCCCCCGCCCCGGGTTCCCCTCCCTCCTGCATCTCGGCCCTGACTGCGGAGCGCTGGGTTAGGGCCTAACCCTGGCCCCTGGGTCGACCCAGATCGCCCCTAGGTCTCTGAGGTGGGAAAGGACTTGATGGATGGGGCCTTAGCCTATGTGATGTTCTGGGATTGGAGCTGTCACCAGCCCTTCCACTCCCGGTAGGGGGTGCGTGTATGGGGAACTCTTTGTGGGGAACACAACCCAGGAGCCGCCCTCTCTCCGGACCCTTCTTTCCTCTAGGCCCCGGGACTCCAGCTAAGACTAATCACCAATTAAGGCGAAGTCCTGGAGCCTGAGCTGGCGAGGGGCCAAGGGTGGGGCGCTGGGGACACTCCGCCTGCAGGGGCTCAGGACCAGCTGAAGTGGGGGACACCCATCGGATTAGAAGGCGAAGAGAAGCGTAGAGATCTCTGCGATTAAATGGTCCATGCAAATTAGATGCTAACCTTTATGCTAATAAGAGCAGAATATTTTTGAAATCGCCACTTGGCGCAGGAGGGCAAACTGTGCCCCACCCTACCCCAGCTTCTTACCGGGCTGCGGAGCCCAGGCGAGGATCTCACGTTCGCGCTCCTCTCTCTGATCCCTCTCGGCACAGTCACTCTCTGCCTCGGTACACCCCGGTCCTATGGGACTTCTCTTCGGGGGCTGCAAGGACAGAATGACTATAACAGGCTTGACCTCCCTCTTCCCTTTCTCTCTCCTGTCAAAATCCACATTGTTATGAAAGAGTCTCCCAGAACGTGGCTATGGCCCTCGTAATTGAACTCAAGGATCCCTGAGACTGCTCCGCAGAACTTTTGTTTGCGGGTAAATTGGGTTGTACTCTAAAGACCCCCCTTTCCCACCACGGTCCCCTCTTCTTACCCCCTCCTGCCCGGGTACGGCGCATGCGCGCAGCATGCCCCCCATAACCCCTAGTATCCGGTCAGTGCGGCCAGGTGCGGGGCGGTCCGGGGGCTTCATGCTGGACCCCTACCCTACTTCAAGTTTCACTGCCGAGGGGGCACGGAAGCTGGGGGGCTCTGATGCCTGCGTGCGTCCGGGGAGTTGCTGCTGCGGCCGAATCCGCCCCCCTGCCCGGCTCCGCCCCCACTCCCACCCAGCCAAACTTCGCAAAAGGGGTAGGGTTTTTCTTTTCTCTACGTAGTTCCACAACAAACAAATCCTTCTGAATCCCGATTCCAATGTCGAAGCGTGGCCCAGAGCTTCGCAGTGTTATTGCAGACCCCACTAGTTCCATCCCATTTCCCCGGGTCTTCAGGAGACAGAAAGACTATGATGGGACAGGGGATTTCCCCATTATCACCTTCCCCTTCTCAGCAGGTCCTGCTCCCCACTCCATCCCACCCTATCCAAGAAACAGAATGGGTGTAGCATACAGAGTTGCATATTTTACTTTATTTTTATTAAATTAAAAGCTACAGTCTGGCAGCGATTCCAGAACAAGATAAGGAGGCTCTTTATAGGGGGCACAGAAGAGCAAGAGAAAGACAAACTGACAGAGACAGACACAGGAGAGGACAAAGTTAAGGTAGGAGAACTGTTATCTTATGGACACACAGCTGGCTCCCTGGAGGGGGAGAGGGGCTCACATCAGTCCAAAGTGGAGCAGTATATGGGGTCTAGGGTTCAAGAGACCCCATCCTTCCCACCTAGGTCCTTTCTCAGCTTAGTCACTGGAGCACAGCACATACCAGGAGAAGCCAAAGGCAATGGAGGGGCAAAGGAACAAGGAGTATGTACACGGGGCAGCCAGCCAGGAGCAGAGCCTTGGAGACTCGGTCTCTGCCAGAAGGGAGTGGCTCACAGGGCACTGAAGCACTTGGCCAATGGGGACAGGGGAAGAGATTGTCCCCTTCCCCTCTGAACTCCCTCCTCAGTCAGATAGGTCCCCTACTTGGGTGATGTGGGGGGCAGGGGGAAAGAGGAGAAAAGAGGCTTCTGTTGGGTCCTAGTACAGGAGGACAGCAGGGCCTTGGCAAAAAGAGATGTCCTTCAGTCATCTGTGATACCCTTGGCTCTCAGTTCCTCTTGCACCCGGGTCAGGTAGGTGGGGTCCGGGTACCCAAACCTGGGAGCAAAGGCAAATGAGGGTCAGGATTAGCTATTTGGGCTTGCTTATATTACCCCATGGTTACCCTCATTCTGAGTAACTCAGTAGAAGCTGCATTCAGACCCCTCTCCACCACCCCTGAGAAAAGACCTCCAAACTGGAGCTGACTCAGTCCAACTCTGCATATTTTTGTAGGTTAACCTGAGCACATCAGGACCAGGGTGAAAGTGCGAGAAACTGAGATGGAAGAGATGGCTGAACAGTTTGGAAGTGGCCCTCTCCAGTTAGGATGCTCCTAGAGGGAGGGGGTTAATGTTGCTCCCTCAGTGGAAATGGAAAGAAGGGGAGGAGCTAAGGGAAGGGAAATGAAGAGGAGTCGCACAGCTGGGGTCCCCCTGTGCAGCTGGTCTTGTGGTGGATGTCGTTCCAAGTGATGACATTTGGTCTCCCTGTGGTCATGGACGTGCCAATAGTGAAGGTGAGACGCTGGTCAAATGCCTTGCGGAACAGGGTCAGCACCTTGTTGCCCTCAGGGCAGTCCGGGAGGTAGGCCACCCGTGTGGTACCAGGATACCGAACTCCTGGGTTTGGGTGTTCAGCCTAGGAGGAAGGGGAAGCAGAGTGGGCAGTAAGCAGCTAGACATCCTACGGCTTGGATGCCAATGGAGGGTCATCCTGACCAGCCTTCTGTCTGTGCACTCCTAGCTGATGCTGGCAGGGCAACAGCAGGCTGACAGCTTAACAGGGAAGGGGCAAGTCTCAGGCCTGAGCAGAAAGAGCCTGTTTGTGGACACAATAATTTTTGTCAAGAGGTTCTTTCATCTGATACAATTCCTCAAGTCTTACTTCAGCAACAAATGGATTCTCAGAAGTAATGGAAGGTAGCTGGTCCTTACTCTCCAGATAACTCAGAAATCTGAAGACTGAATACAATTTATCTTTCAGCCTTTGCTCCTCTACTCCTAATGCTTCTGCCACTGTCTAACCTGTTCCAGTTTTCTGTTTCTCTTCTACAGAGCTTTCTTATCCCTCTCAGAACCAGAATTGGACGTCACTCTTTGTCCAGCAGGAAGACAACTACAGACCCTTGACAACTCCTGTTTCTACCTTTCAGGCTTGTCAAGCTCATAAATGTGGAACAAAGTAACAGTCCCAGTTCTGTTAGGATGGTCAGATCCCTTTCTGTTATGCCTGCCTGTACCTTGACCATCACCTCCACAGATTTTACCTCAGCCAAGAATATTTCTCAACATCCACTTTCATTAGGGAACTAGTATGCAATTCCTTTCTCTCAAACCTGACTTCTTTTGTCTTTTTTTTTTTTTTTTTTTTTTGTGGCCTGGGGTTTGAACTCACAGCCTCATACTTGCTAGGTAGCTGTTCCACTGCTTGAGCCACTCCACTTGCCCTTTTGTTGTGTGATGGGTCTTTTTCAAGATAGGGTCTCACAAACTATTCTGGCCAGGCTGGCTTAGAAGCTGGATCCTCCTGATCTCTGCCTCCTGAGTAGCTAGGATTACAGGCATGAGCCACCAGTGCCCAGCTCATACCTGACTTTTTGTTTGTTTGGGTTTTTTTTTTTTTTGCAGTGCTAGGGAGTGGAGTCAATCCAGGGCCTCCTGCATACTACGCTAAGCACATGCTCTAACACTGAGCTACACCCCATCCCTCACATCTGATATTTATGTATGCTTTGCAGTCATGGGAATGGAAAAGCTGGGCCTCAAGGAGACCTCCCAGCTCCAGAGCACCGAGTAGGAAAACATACTTCGAATCAGCAAGACCATATCACATCTAACAAACACACTCTCCCTTACCCAGTTTTCTGAGATCAGAGAACAAGCATGGGGAAAACCAAAGGGTAAGAGCAGGCTGTGGTTTTCTTACCCCCTGGACACCGGGTGGGAAGACATACTGGATGACAATGGTGCCGTACTTCTCATAGCTGGGCAGTAGAAGGGTGGCATCCTTAGAGACCAGCATCCGCCCATTCTGGGGCTGGTTGCCCACCAGCTGCCCATAGAAGCGGCCGCACATGGGGCAGGCCTTTTTCACCTGCAGGGCCCGGGTGATACAGCCCTCACAGAAAGAGTGCCGGCACTTCTCCAAGGTCTTGGCATTCTGGATCTCACCCAGGCAGATGGGGCAGGTGCTCTCCTGTTCTTCTGCCTCCTCCCGAAGACGGGGAGGAAGAGGAGGGGGCAGGGGAGGAGGAGGAGGAGGGAGCCCCCTTGCCCCTGGAGGTAGGAGCGGGGCTGCTCGAAGAGGGGGTGGACCTGGGCGGTGCAGCTCAGGGTGCTCCCCGCCACCCCCCAAAGCCAGGCAGCCCATGAGCTCCCCCTGCCTCTGAGCTTTCTTCAGCTCTTTCTCTGCCTCTTTCAGTAGCCCTTTGAGAGCCTTCCGGGCAAGGTACAGCCCATTGGGAGGGGCTGGGGGAGGGCCCTGTGGGGAGAGCTGGAGAACATAGATGTCAGAAGTCTCGCCATCTATAAGGATGGATACGCGGTGCTCCTCCCGAAGCCGGGCCAGCCGGGCTGGGGTCTCCTTGCTCAGGAAGTCCCACACAGGCTTGGAGACAGTCACTTTGTTCTTGCAGGTGCCTCCACAGGCTGCCATTCTGGACAGGACGAACGACACTACCCCCAGGGTGAAAGGGACTCAGGGTGGGGGGTCCCCGTTTGATACTTATTAGTGCCTCCTACTTCAGGTTCCTTCTAAACCCTGTATTGCCTGTACTGTATCAAAGTCCAACCCCCAAGCCCTCTGGCAAACTCATTTTCTATCTCCCCTTATCTCCCATATCCCCAGCACCCTCTGAGGAGCAATAAAGTTTCCATACTTTATTATTATACGCCAAGCATCAGACTTGAATCTCATTTCTCCCATCTTGTCCCTCCCCCATCTTGGTTTTAAAAAAATGGGCTCTTTACAAGGGGAGGGAGACTTTTGACCCTCCTTTTTGCTCACTTTGATCCTGAAGAGCTTAGAATTGGCATGCAGGCTCACTCTCTCTTTCCCTGCTCCCTACTTGTTGGTTGTGTGACCTGGTAGGGTGAGAAGGAAAAGGACGGAAAGTAAGAAACCCCTTCCTCAACTCCTGTGGCCCCATCCCAGGAGCCCATGTAAAGACAAGAACCTGGGGTAAACCTGTAAGTTACCAGAAAGAGGATTACTTGGCGCATCTGAGGAAACCCAAGCAAGGATTTAGGGTCTCTTGGGACACAGGTACCTGGAAAGCCCATGGAAGATGAAGCAGCACAAATCCCTCTGTTTCTTCACTCAGCTGACCAGAGCTGGGGGGTGAGAGGGAAGGTAAAGGGTTATGATGGTAAATGTTTCCAAGTCCCCTCACCAGCCCAGAAATAAAACTCTTCTTCCATTTCCTCTTCTTCTCCTGGGCAGAATTCCACCTCCAGCCTCTCTCTCTCCAAGTTGCTAAAGGAACTTTCAACATGCTAACCTTTCTCTTTTTTCTCCAGCTCTGAGACTCTCAAGAGAGCCTAGAGCACAGATAAGAGAAGACAGGAAGGGAAAAGCCCACACAGACGGAGGTCATTCTTGCCACCTCCCTCAGATCACATGGACAGGAATATTTCTTTTACTCCCTAAGTCCTTGCCCTGTTCCACATTCCCAAATAATTCCGCCGTTGTGGCTGAAGGGGAGCCTTCCTTGAGAGCTAACTTCGTTCTGCCGAAGGCTGTTAGAGATGCCAACAATGTGCCAACAGCCCAGCCCCTGCAGTAACAAAGTTCCCACTGTCACCGTTTACACAAGCACTGCCGGTCAGCTCCTACTCTGCATTTAGGAGAGGCAGGGCTCACACAGGGGCTCAGCAGGAGGGGCCTGATGTTTCCCCTAAGTCCTGTTACATTCAGCTACATAGCTGTCCCCACAACACCTCCAAGTGTGGTTCAGTTGGAAGAAGGGGCCATCAGTGTGACCTCAATTTGTTGACTGCTCCAAAAAAAGGAGCTGCTGTCCCTTTGTGCCTCTATCATAGCCTCCCTCAAGGCCAGATGGAACCCCAGGCAGGATCTGCGCATAAGGTGTAAGGTAGAACCTGTAAAGGGTGGAACGTCCCCTCCCAATCAGAGGAGACTCAGGTGTCCTAGCTCCAAGTCCTGCTGGCACAGCATAGGGAGGCGGGGCCACAGTTTAGGCTGGGTCTGTGATTCCTCTGGGGCAATCCAGACGGGACACAAGGCCAGTCCCTCCCTCCAGACCGAGGCCAGAGTCAGGGACAGCGGGAAGGGCAAGGGTCCCTGGGGGCATCCCCTGTGGCAGCTCCCCCTCCCCCCACGACCTCCTCCAAGACCCGACGGGAACCAACTCCTTGCATCCCCCACTCGCGGAAGCCCCTGGAGCCCCGCCGCTGGGTAGGGGTGAATGTCGACCAGTTTGCGGCCCTCAGAACCCCCCAAATGGAGGCCAAGGCTGGGAGTGCTAGAAAGATGACCCGCCCGGCCCCGATGGGGGACCCCGGCGCGTCGCGCGGGGGAAGGAGGGGGAGAAGGGGGCGTAAGAGGAGCGGGGAGCTTGCAAGGGTTGCGAGCGGGGTCCGGGGGACACGCGGTGGGTGTGGGGGGCGCCGGGCTCACCTACCTCTCGTCAGCGCCGCCATTGCCGGTCACATGACTGAGGCTGTTGCTGGGATGACGGTCCGGGCCTTAGCAACAAGGGTGGGGGGGAGACCCCGAGAAGGTGGAAGGGGGTGCAGGGGTGCAGGAAAGGGAAGGAGGGAAGACAGCATCCAGTTTCCTTTCTCGGGTGACAATCACCGTTTCCTTTGACCCTTCTATCCGGGAGCCCCTGCCCTTCCGCCCCAAAACAAAAATGGAGGCGCAATCCCAGTCTTTGGAGGGAGGGGGTGGCGTCATGTAACCAGGGGTAGGAGGTTAAATCCCTTAGAAACGCCACCCTTCTCGCTTCCCCTCCTGGAGAAGACCTCTACGTTTTCTTTTCCAGCCAGTTGCGTGGCAGCTTTGGGGGCTGGTGGTGGATGGGTGGGTGAGTAGTGTTGGTAGCATATGGGGATTTGGGGGGGAGGGCAATTTTTTGAAATCCTTATGCTACAAGGGCCTTTGAGGAACAAGGTGGGATGGGAAGTGTCTTATTAAAAAGAAAAGCACCGGTGCCAAAATAAATTCCATTGCTAAACTGCTTCAGTCCCCTCCCTCATCTTTTGCCTTTTTCTAGATTTTACCTTTTGTGACCCCCACAACCTGTTCCCAGATGGGTACTGTTGAGTGCCTCTGATTTTTCTCTTTTCATAAATAGGGGGACACTGAGGCTGGTGCAGAATGAGAAATGAACAGATCTTTTAAAAATGCCTTGGGGTGGTGGTGTTAGGGTATGGTTCAAATAGAGTTAAAAGTTCTCACAGAAAAAAAAAAAAGAAAAAAAAAGCTCTGCTCTGCTCTGCTTCCCACATCACAGCAGACTCCGCCCCCAGTCCAACTCACTTCCCTGGGGCCACATCAAGCCAGGTTTTTCCACCAGCCAAAAGACTGCCTTAGCCAAGACATGCTGATCTCTGACTGGCAACCACCTCTAGTCATCACCCTTTTTCACTCCCCCTCTGGACTGGAGACCCGTCACTCTCATTTTCCCAGGACCCTGCTGTACTCCTTCTGTCCTCCAAACAGAGGACAGCTTTCCCAGGGAAGTCTGGGGAAACAGAATTCCTTCTCACTTAGCTGGTGGGCTGAGAGGCCCATTCACCTTTAGAGATGAGGGAGCCCAGAGCCCTGGGGGAAGAGAGGTGCATCATCCCACTCCTCCATGGCCTCCACTACTGCTAAATTCCCACTAGGTTCATGAATTTCTTTTTTTGAGACAAAGTTATGTAGCCCAGGTTGGCCTTGAACTCTTGATGCTCCTGCTGGACCATCTAGAGACACAGGTGTGTACCACCACACGTCTTGATGGATGTTTTCTATTTCCATCTCTACCCCTCACTATCTCTTACATCCACAGCCATTTTAGACACCCACATCCTTAGTTAGGGGCCCAGCACCTTAACATTAGTCTTCAGTTGATCTCTGTACTCCTAACCACAGGATTTTCCAGAAAAGTTTTAAAAAGAAAAAAAGGCATTTATGTGAAGGAAATTGAATAATTTATTTTCAGTATTATGATAGCAATGGGAGTAAATACACAAGATCTTTTATTAATAAAACAAAAAAGATGAAAAACAGGCAATAAATGAAGGCGACCATATTGCCCATGATACATCAGCCTCATGGTCAGAGAACTCAGTTCTGAAGAACAATGGCTGCTGGTGTCACAGAGCTTTATTGCATTCAACAGGGGAAAGGTAGATGGTGGGGATGGAAAAGAATCAGCAGGCTCCTGACAGGGAGATACTATAGGGGCTTCAAGCCCTGATTGGGACCCCACTTGCTACTTCCTTTGGAGCAGAGGTGAAGGGAAGAGCTTCTTCCTGTGGGTCTCATGACTTTTTCCGAGACCAATCAGCCCAGCCAGATTCAGAGCATCTTTAGGGGGAAAAAAGTATGGAAGTCTCAAGGGGGATGAGGATGGGGAAGCAAGATGAATGGGTGTTTTGGCCCCAAAGGCATTGGGGAGGGAGGGGAGGACAATTTATCTCATCAGAGTCCTCTACATTCGGAGAATATCATGCACCAACTCAGCTATCTTTGAAGGGGGATGGGTGATTGAGTTATGGCTCTGACTCCTCTCTGGGGGTGGAGAGTGAAGATGACAAAGTAGGCCATCTGTCCCCTGAGAGACACAGTAACAGCATAAGATGGGACAGAAGAGAACAGAATAACAATTTCCACTGGAAAAAAGGGTCTGAGTAAGGGTAGGGGAAGGTGCCCACATTCAGGAGATGGGCAAGTTCCCACACTCAAGACCTCCATCCTCTTGAAATGACCAGAATTGACCCAGGTAGAGATATTCCCTTCTGCTGGAAATAAACCTTGGGAATGGCTAGATAGGAAGAAAAGAAATCTAACATGGGGAATGAACTTTAAACTCTGGCCCGTCATCCCAGCATCCAGTGAGTGGCCACAAACTCACTGATGGGTTCCAGCCCAGCAAAGGCGCAAGGTTCAGGGGAAGCACAGCAGCAGTCAGATATCTACACCCTGGCTTGAACACTTCTGGCAGCAGTCAGATATCTATACCCTGGCTTGACCACCTCTGGCCCTCTTTGGGCTCCTGTGTCCAGAAGTACAGCTGGGTGAAGGTGGGATGGGAGAAGAGACTGAAGAGTCGTCAATCCTTGGCAAACACCCTCTCCAATTCCCTGCATAGTCACAAAAGTCCCTTTAGGTCCGGCTTCTGTGAGGCGCCAGCCTGCTGACCACTCACCACCCCACCTCCATGTTTCAGATTGGCCATTTTCCATTGTGTGTGCATGCCTGCGCCACATCTGTAGTAGCCTGAAAGTCCTCCATCCCAGGGCCGACCAGGAGGGAGGCATGCCACAGTGAGTTCTATAAAGTTATCAGTAAAATTCAGACACTCTGAGTTCATCCCACACAGCAAAGTACATCCAGAGTAGTTGCTTGAGCCACGTCCACTGTCCAGTCAGGTTCCGAAGATGGCAAACAACCCCCTGCCCCCAGCTCCTCCTATTTTATAGAAACAACAGGAGATTTTACAAAGATCAAGGCACTTGAGAGAGAGTTAACAGTAACACTCTAATGAAGTAACAGGGCTTGGTGGTGGGAAGGACAGAAGGCAGAAAAATGGCAAAGGGAGAAAGGACAATGTATTTTAGGGAAATAGGAAAAGCCTATTCAAAAGATGGAGTTATTTGGATGGAAGGAAACTACAGCCTGAATTTAGCAAAGGAGGAAGGGAAGTAGTGGCCAGAATACCCACAGTTCCCCCAAGCCTCTCAGAACCCTACCACCTTGAACATAAAGCAGCAATCACCACAGCTCAGGCAGGCTCTTAGGCAAAGATGTTGGTAATAAAATCCAGGAATCGCTTAGCATACTGCTCAGGATGGACAGTAGAGATCTCTGCTCCCGCCTGTGAGAGGAAGCATGGAACACTGTGTCAGGCTGCCCTCTACCTTCCCTACTCCCCATCCTCTAACCCACTCTCCACATTTCCCTCCTGCTGCCACCTAACTTCTCTGACACAAGGGCTCTCTCTTCCCAGAGAAGAGTCCAGATAGGAAAGTAGAGGCCTTGGGGAACTCTCACCCCATGCTTGACAGTTTTGGCTGCATGAGCTGCTTTCTTCTTGGCATCATACTGTGTCAGGATGTCAATGAGGCCCATGAAATACACCTCCTTCTGGGGAGCCCCTAGGGAGAGAGGTCAAAAATAAAGAGCAGGTATAGTCTCAATTCCCTTTTCCAGGGAGCAGTTTGTTCTGAAAAACTAACCAGTCTCTCCATTCACCACCCTGGTCTCTAGCCCCCAATACCCCCCTCTTTCATCCTCAAAATTTCCAGGATCTCTCTCACCCTCAGCACTCCGGATGGCGTAGACATCGATGAAGGACTCAAACTCTCCAGGGCCCAGGGGCCGGTGGGAATGGATGTAGCCTCCAATACCCTCAGGGGAGGTGCCATAGGAGCCCACCAGAGCAGGAGGTCCAGTCAGGTTACAATCCCCATCCCACTCTGACTCGTCCTCCCGCACAGGTCCCTCCTCCTCTGGTTCAGAGCCCCGGATGATGTCGTGGATGCCCAGCAGAAGGCTGTAGTCCATGATCTTCAGCTGCACTAGAAACTGAGACCCACTGACAAATCACACATCCCAGATCTCCCTCACCCCCACCTCCACCCTTGAATTTCTGGGGCCCTCCTGGGGAAAGGAAGTGCAAAAGTTGAGGTTGAGTGAGACCACTGCCCTTTAGTGACTAAATGTCCAGGAATCTAAGATCACCCTTTTACTTATTCCAGTCTCCAGGGATTAGCTTCAGGGTTTTATTTTTTTTTTAATTTCATACATACCCAACCTCCCATATGCAGAAGAAACAGAGAATAAGGGGAAGGAGCGCCTTCATATTGTAAATGGAAGAGAACCAAAAAAAAAGGAAGAAAAAAGGGGGAGGGGGATAAAATATGGCATTTCTGAATATCCCAGTCATCACCTCTACATCTCTCTTTAGCTTCTCCAGAAACACTTTCTTCTCCTCCTCACCAATATATACTTTCTGGTTCTTGTTGAGGAAGTCCATATCCTTAAGTGTGGGCAGTTCTTTAACCTAGAATAGGGAAAAGGACGTCTTGGGAATATATCTCTCCTCAAGGTCTTGGAGAACACTGTCTCTGTCAGAGTTCTATCTCTACCTCAGCAGCCTCAAAGCAAGGTGGTCTTACAGTTGCTCTGTGCTCTGCCTCTGATGATGATCACTCAGTAGTACCCCACATCACATCCCACACTTTCCACCATGGTTTTCAGTCAACACCCTCCTTGCTGACTTTTCTTCCTTCTTCCTCAGCAAAAACAGCAATCTAGATACAAGACCCCAGCATGGCAGGTGGAAGGTGACCATTTTGCTCTAAAAGACTGGCATACTCCATATTCCACATGGAATAACCTAAGGCATTAACAAAACAGCTGCTCCTACTGCCCCTTGCAAACTATCCCTAGATCAGCAGAAGTTTTCAGTGGTTTAAGACAAACAGATGGTGATCCCTACCCATTATGGAGAATGGCCTCTCTATCCTAAGAAGATCCCTTTCACCCACCCCACTCCCTTACCCATCACCTAAAGCAAGTATCACCTTCTCCTTATCGCTGGCTTCCCGAGACACTAGGGAACCCTGTGGAAAAACCCAAAGACCAAGTTAGTAGAAGTGGCTAAGAGAAGAACTCCTAAGATGAGTACTCAAATCCAGTCTTTCCTTTGAAGGGAACCACCCAGTGTCCTCCCAGGCCTTTCCCACTCTCAGGCCAGCAGCAGCCTCTCCCTAAGCCCCGCTAGCCTGTCCATACCTTGAGGTCATACTTCCTGTGCACAGGAAGCCGGTGGCTAAACATATTGCGCATCACAAGCATGTAGCTGTCTTCATTTTCCACACTGACCCGGTACATCCCCAGGAACTGTGGCAGGAGTGTGTTGCCATGGCACTTCACAATGTACTAGGGTGCAAGAAAGCAATGAGGAGAGACTGAGTAGCAAAAACACAAAGGCTCGGGGATGGGAAAGCAAACTCTACTGCTCTGCAGTGGGGCAGACAATTTCAGGTAGAGTAGTTACAAGATCAAAAGTGAGCTGGAGGCATGACTCAAGTAGAATGCTTGCTTAGCATACACCAAGGCCCTGGGTTCAATCTTAAGTACCACCAAAAAAAAAAGTGGGAGCTTCCTAAAAATGCCCCTGGCTAATCCACACAATCCGTCTCCTGCAATTTCATCCATTTGTATAATGTCTCTTAATTTTAAAGTGCCATCTCTCATTTCATCTTTATCATTCTTCCAGATGTGGAAGGTACGTGCTAAAATCCTTAGTTTAGGCTCTCTCTGTATGCAAGTGGTCACAGAACTAGGAATACAATTTACAGCTGCTTATCAGTAAAATTACTTTATCTACATCAATGTTTCTTGGTGGGCTACATTCCTGTAGTAAAAATGCACGCAAGATGGCCTGCAAAGTCAAGCATACTGGCGCACACCTACAATCCTAGCTTCTTGGGAGGCTGAGATTGGGAGGAATGTGGTTTAAGGCCAGCCTGGGCAAATAGTTCAAGAGACCCCATCTCTAAAATAACAACAGCTAAATGAACTGGAGGTGTGGCTCAAGTGGAAAAGTGCTCTTCACTCTTACTTTGCAAGAGTGAAGCCCTGAGTTCAAACCCCTGTCCCACCCCCAAAAAAAAGATGGCCTGCAATTTGGAGGCAGGCATGGTGGGAAACACCTGTAGTCCTAGCTACTCAGGAGGTGGGAGGATCTCAAGTTCCAGGCCAGCCCAAGCAAAGATAGCCTCAAGACCCTGTTTCAAAAACAAAAAAAAAGCAAAAGGGTTGGGGAATAGCTCAAGTGGTAAAGTGCTTGCCTAGTATGGCCCTGGGCTCAATTCCCAGGCTGCCTCCAGGCTGCGATTTAGATTCTTAAGAAACAATTCCTCAGCTAGACATGGTGGTGAACACATAATCACAGCACTTGGGAGCCTGAAGCAGGAGGATCATGTGTTTGAAGCCAGACTAGGTTACATAGCAAGTTCTGGATAAGTCTAGCTCACTTAGCAAGACCCCGTCTCAAAAAAAACAAAACCAGGGCCAAGAGTGATACCCAAAATCCAAGCTACTCAGGAGGCAGAGATCAGTTTGGTTCAAGGTCAGCCTAGCAAAAAGTTAAAGAGATCTTCATCTCAACAAATAAGCCACATGTGGTGGCACATGTCTGTTATCCCAGCTGCCTGGCAGACCATAGATAAGAAGATCTGAGTCTGTACTGCCAAAAACAAAACAAAACAAAACGAAACAAAAAAAAACCAAAAACAAACAAAATTTCTCTTTCAGGGCTTGGTGTGTAGCTCAATGGTAGAGTACTTGCCTGACATGCACCAGACCATAGGTTTGATCTCCAGCACTGTATTAAATAAATAAATGTCTCTTTTACTGCTTGCCATTTCTCTCTCTCTCTCTCTCTCTCTCTCTCTCTCTCTCTCTCTCTCTCTCTTTCTGTCACTGTCCACTTCAAAGTTAACCTCAGTAATCAGTAATCAATTTCCTATCTGGAACTAACACCTCAAATCACTGAAACCAGATTTATACCCTCATTTCTCTTCTGAAATACTCCCTGAAACCCTTGGTTTGTCAAATCCAATGGCTATTCTAGTCCTTGCCCAGTTTCAACTATGTGGCACTCAAAATGATCTTCACCCTCAGCTCTCATTATACTACTCTGAATTTTCTTCCCCCTTCCCCTCAAGTCCTTTATGGAATGGACTAGGGCATAAATAACCAAAAGTGCACATGTGCCTGGTGCTAGTGATTCATACCTGTAATCCTAGTTACTTGGGGTACTAAGATTGGGAGGATCACATCTCAAGGCCAGTCCAGGCAAACAGTTCTAGAGACCCCATCTCCAAAATAACTACAGCAAAATGGACTGGAAGTGTGGCTCAAGTGGTAAAGTGTCTGCTTGGCATGTGTGAAGCCCTGAGTTCAAACCATAGTCCAACCAAAAAAAAAAAAGTATCCATGTATGTAACCTCCTTTGTGGGTTCTTTTCCTTACTTACTCTTTAAGGTTGTTTCTTCAACCTTCTTCTCATTTCACTCCACATACCTCCCTTCAGTAATCTTACCTATACTTGTAAGTAATTGTAAGTGGCAATAAGTGATTTTAATGACCACTTTTTGATGTGTAACTCTCAAATCTATACTCCTAGTCTAATCCTCTTCCTGAGTTCCATACTCATACCCCAGCACTTACTGGACATCTGTATCTGCAGAAGCCTAAAATTCACCAGGTTCAACTCAGAATTACCTTCCTCCAAAAATCTACTCCTCTATCTGTTTTCCAATTGTTAGTGAATGGGCATTCAGGAATTCAGAGGCTCCTTTGCCTTAACTTCCACAACCATCCCACAGGTCTTTCTTTCTATGCCCACTGCCATTGCTCTGCCAGGCTTTTGCCATTCTCATCTACACTATTAAAATTAATTGACCTCTATACATCCTAAGTATTTCCCCTCTCTAATCCATTCTCTACAATGTTGCCACAGGGATTTTTTTTTTCTTCTTTTTTTGTCCCTCTGTGGTACTGGAGTTTGAACTCAGGGCCTCACAAGGCACTTTAGCATTAGAGCAATGCCTCCAGCCAAAAACCCAAACTTCTTTCTGTGGCTTTTAAGGTCCCTCACAATGTGGCTCCTGCCTAGTTTTTTACAATACCACATCAAAGCCACACTGACTCTTCTGCGCTTTTCTAATACCACGGTCTCTCATGGTTCTGTGCCTTTACAAGTGCTATTCTCCTTTGCCTAGAATGCTCTCTTCCACCTTGTCCTCTGGTTAACCTCTCCAAGTCATTCAAGAATTAACTCCTGAGCCGAGGACGCCACTCAGTGGTAGAGTGTGTGCTTAGCACGTGAAAGGCTGAGTGTGATTCCAGCAACACACACACACACACAAACACACACACGCATGCATGGATGTGTGCATGTACACACATATTGAGGAAAGAAAGCAATTTAAAAAAAAGGATCACCAGGCACCAGTGGCTTAGGCCTGTTATCCTAACTACTCAGGAAGCAGAGATCGGAGGACCGAGGTTCAAAGCCAGCCTCCGCAAATAGTTTGAGAGACTCTATCTCAAAAAAACCCATCACAAAAATAGAGCTGGTGGAGTGGCTCAAAGTGAAGGTTCAGAGTTCAAACCCCAGTACCACAAAAAAAAAAAAAAAAAAAAAGGATCAACTCCTATGATACCTCCTCCACTCTCAAATATTCTCCTCAAGCCTCCCAAGTGTTCTTCCTTGTCCAGGTAAGTTGGGGGTGATCTCCGCAACCTCAGAACATTCTGTGCATACCTCTACTATTTTTTTGTGGTATGGGGTTTGAACTCAGAGCCTACACCTCGAGCTGCTCCACCAGCCCTTTTTAGTGAAGGTTTTTTTCGAGATAGGGTCTCATGAGCTATTTGCCTGGGCTGGCTTCGAACCGTGATCCTCCTGATCTCTGCCTCCTGAGTAGTTAGGATTACATGTGTGAGTCACTGACACCTGGCTATTGCACGCATCTTTTTTTTTTTTTTTTATTCATATGTGCATACAAGGCTTGGCTCATTTCTCCCCCCTGCCCTCCCCACCACCCACTCTACCCCCTCCCTTTCCCCCCACCCCCTTAATACCCAGCAGAAACTATTTTGCCCTTATTTCTAATTTTGTTGTAGAGAGAGTATAAGCAATAATAGGAAGGAACAAGGGTTTTTGCTGGTTGAGATAAGGATAGCTATACAGGGAGTTGACTCAAATTAATTTCCTGTGTGTGTGTGTTACCTTCTAGGTTAATTCTTTTTTATCTCACCTTTTCTCTAGTTCCTGGTCCCCTTTTCCTATTGGCCTCAGTTGCTTTTAAGGTATCTGCTTTAGTTTCTCTGCGTTAAGGGCAACAAATGCTAATTTTTTAGGTGTCTTACCTATCCTCACCCCTCCCTTGTGTGCTAAAGCTTTTATCATGTATTGCACGCATCTTACTGGTGTGCTAGTGCTAGTTTACTGACTCTGCCATTAAACCAAGAGATTCTCAAAGGGCCATCACTACTTCATTCATCTGTTTTTTTCTACTACCTAACATAGAATAGAATCTAGTAGTAATAGACATTCAATATTTGTTGAATAAATCAAGATTCCTGTTAGAGTCTTGGCAGGCTTTTTTTTTTTTTTTTTTTGGTACTGGAGTTTTAATTCCACCTTTCCACCTTGAATCACTCCACCAGTTTTTTTTTTTTTTTTTTTTGGTGATGGGTTTTTTCAAGATAGTCTCGAGAACTATTTGCCTGGCTGGCTTTGAAACATGATCCTCCTGATCTCTACCTCCTGAGTAGCTAGCATTACAGGCATGAGCCACCAGCACCTCGCTGTTTTGGCTTTTTTGAGATAGGGTATCTCTGTGTCCCAGGCTGGCCTTGAACTTTCAATCCTCCTGCCTCAGCCTCCCAAGTGCTGGGATTATAGCTGTGCACCACCATACCTGTTTTTCATTTATTTCTTGTTCATTGATTTTGATGAGTTTTCTTCAATTGAAAGACCTTCAGGAGGCATGTTTTTATCAACAAAACATTACATAAAGTCCACATTTCAAGTAAAGTTAATCAGACAGAATAGCTTCCCTAGTCCCATTTAGGGCTGGATGTGATTATGGATCCTACGTTCCAATTCATCCCAATCATGCCTTTATCCTGGTTTTCTCCCAAAACTGCAGCCATTCCTCATAGTGTATGTGATGTTAGCACTCACCCTAATTCTGACTCTCTAGTCTACATTGTGCTACACATGTGTCCTGTATGTATCAATCCACAGTGGTTATAAATTATAAGTACCAAGTGGGAAAGGATATATCAAATTGTTGTTAAATCAAACACAAACAGGTAGCAGAAGCCCTTTTTTCCCCTGAACTTCCTAATTTAAAAAAAAAAAACAAAACATGATATTGAGTGCTTCTGAAGGAGAGTAATGGTTTGGAAGGGAGAAAAAGTCTCTTCGTGTGGTTTAGCAGCTGAGCTATGTATATGAGTAGGGAAGAGGAGGAAAGAATGAGGCTAGAGAGAAGTCTGACCTGGTGGTAGTTGGAGAGGTTGCTATGCATGTCAGCAATGTCTTCACTGGATACTTCTTTGATGACCAGAGTCCGATCATAGGAGATAAGGAAGCGACCATCACTGCCTTCACTTTCACTTGGGGGGCTTCGGGTAAGGGATACCTGGAGAGAAAGAACAGGCTACAAGCTCTTTTCCTATCCCCTTTTGTGGATTACAGATCATAGGATAATGACCAACCGAGTGCTTCTGAAAGTGGATGAAACTCTGGGGTAACAGACTGATCAGGGTATATTCTTAATCTGGTGCCACATATGAACCGAATGAAACTGAATAAAAAACTCTTAATGTATCTATACTTTTTCCAAGGACAGCTTCATTAGTTCTCATTAGATTTTTGAAGATGCCATGACCACAAAAAGATAAAGAGCCCTATTTGATGAGGCTTTCAAGTCTCCAAACATGACTATCCCAAGGACTTTCCAGTCGCCAGGACTACCCTCACCCTGTAATAGACTCACCAAGTAATCCTGGTCATCAATGCCAAATCGATCACGGAGGTTCCTGAAGACCTGGGGACAATACTCCTTGAACTTGAAGTGACTGGGCAGATTTTCCCTAAAATACAGGTTTTTAAGGTAAGAGAACAAAGTGACAGCATCACTTTACATCTGTATGAGGCTTCACGTTTATAAAGCACCTTTACACTTACTACCTCATTTGCTTCTCATAAAATCCTGTGAAATACTTAAAAAGTATATTGTCCCATTTTATAGTAGGGGAGATTGTATCTCAGGGTGGTGGGTAACCTACCCAAGTCACATGGCTGGTATAAGGAGAGCAAAGATCTACTGTCCATCTAGACAGAAGCATTTTTCAAATTTCAAGCGCCTTAGAGGCATCCTAAAGTTGGTTATAAACACCAACTTTTGAATGGTGTCTTGTGGTATAAGGAATCCTAGGGGACTCAATAATTTCTTTCTAGTAGCTAATGGCAATGGAATCTGAATGTATCTACTCGATGGAACTGCCAGGCTAGAGGAGAGGCAACACTGGAAATTCTTTTAATGGTTTCTTTGCACAAAACTCAATCTATGCATGGGAAGGCCATTAGACCATACAACTTGTAAGTTCACTCCTAATACTAAAACCTTCAACTCATTTTTTTTTGGTACTAGGATTTGAACTCAGGGCCTGTGCTTGCTAGCAAGCAATCTACCACTGGAGCCATGTCCCCAGCTCCTCGTTTAATCTTTTAAAATTACTGTTTTTCTAGAAGGTTGCCATGAGAAAGGCAAGAATGCCCACTTACCTATGGAAAAGGTGATTGTTGACCTTGATTTTGGAGCTAGCCTTAAAGTCATCTGGCAGCAACATCACTGGGGGAGGTACCTGGCTCAGCTCATTTATCTGATAATCCAAAACATGAACAGGGAGGCAGTGAGTTAAAGGTGTGGAGTACTTATACATTGTATATGAACAGGAGTAAGGAAAGGGCAAACTCAAACTCAAACCTCACTCCTTTAAAAACATCGGTTGTGCATAGCTTGAAGTGAGAGAATGTCTAACCCGTTCTGCTACCCAAGGATGGCTGTAAGCAACCCTCACACTCCTCACACTCCCACTCCCATGGAACTTCATGCTCATAACAGTCATTTTATATTAGGAAAGCCCTGTAAGCACTCAGGACTATTTTTAAAGCTGTAAGAAATTCTACCCAAAAAAATAATTAATTAATTTTAAAACACCAAGAAAAACCCGGTAGGCTCAAGACAAAGTTACATGTTCCATCTAGGGAAAAAAAAAAGTGGCTCAAACCTATAATTCTACATACCCAGGAGGCAGAGATCAGGAGGTTCAAGGCTAACACAGGCAAAAAGTTTATGAGACCCCATCTGAACCAACAGCTGGGTGTGGTGGCACATGTCTGTCATAGTGGCTAGATGGGAAGCAGTGGTCCAAGCCAGGTCCCAAGCAGGGCCCTATCTCAAAAAAATAACCAAAGCAAAAAGTGCAGTGGTGGCATGACTCAAGTGGTAGAGCACCTGCCTAGCATGCATGAGGTTCTATAGTTCAACCCCCAGTACACAAAGCATTTTTAATGTACACAGAGAATTAATGGGACTCTGAGGGGGTCAGCAGCAGTAAGAAGGATAAAATGCCCATACCCTCTAAGAGGTATCTTCATACAAACAGGACAGTGCTTCCTGACTACTATGACCTAGTTCTCTGCAGTCGGTGTCCACCTGCATAAGTGTAAGGTAAAGGAAGAGCAGCTGATCTCAAAAGAATGCAGGCCATCAGAGAATGTGAGCTCCTCAGGTGTCTGTTCCCTAAATCAAGCCAATCCACAGCCCAAAGGTGCAAGCAGCACATTTTCTCATCAGCCCCCAGAATTTGCAGCCTGCTAATTCAAGGCTAAAGGGGGTTCATGTACTTAGGAATCCCAAGATGTGTTTTCTCCTCAGTGTTGCTACAGTACCTTTCACCTGCCCTTAATTGTGCATGTAACACATGACTCTAAACACCAGTTTATCTAACTCTCCCCACCCCCAAGATTGTGAGCTCTTCAAGGGCAAGGGTCCATCCTAGTTGTCTGCCATCTCTCAGATGTCTGGCTAGCATAATGTCTGGCACACAGTGGTCTGAAATGTGAATTGAATAAATGAATATCTTGTCTATCCTTACTTGATCATTCAATAAAGGTTATGAATTTCAGTCTAACCTAAAACCCACCAGGCTGCAGTGCATGCAACTCCTCCTGTTCTCAGTAGAAAAGGAGGACAGACATATTCCTCCAGAAAAAAAAAGCCACTTGAGACTCCCAGCCTAAAATTCAGCTATAGCTTTTCCTGCCCCCTCTTCACCACCTGCTAAGCAGGCTGAATCATCACTAAGGCATATGTTCAAGGAATTTCTCCATTCCAGACATCTGAAGTAGATGTGTGTTGGCCAGAGGGTGGGATGTTACAGGTAAAATATATATACCTAATGAAGCTGAGGCAGGTCTTCTTACATGTAATTCCCCCAATCCTTACCAAAGGAAAACCCTCTCTATTAGCAACCAACAAGGATGGATGGGTCACATGGAAGATACATATGGACAGACAGCCCTACCTCCATCAGAGTTGCCCATACCAATACCAATACCTTAGACATTACCACTCAGAAAGCCACAAATGCAATAGAAAACCAACTGACCCCAAAAGACATTCTAAACTACTAGTTAAGAAAGTGACAAAGACTGCATTCATCCTCAATCCTTCCACCTCCACAACCCAACCAGGACTATAACAATTGGAGGAAGCTGATTACTAAAATATTTCCTGTCACACTGAAGATCAGTGCATCCCTCCTACTCAAGATCTGAGTAGGGAGGCAATGGATGTGCTTCTTCCACCAGCGGTATCCTCAGGAAAGGAGATATACTGGTCTCCTTAGTCACCTCCTGACTCCCAGACCAAATCCCTTAGAACTTGTAAAGCTCACCAATCTAGTGTCACTAGGACCAAGGCTCCTCAGCCTTCTCTGCTCACAAATGACCCCCACTTACAACAAACACCACCACTCCAGACAACAACGGGGATGCAGTTAAGACCAAAGGCATATATATGTACATTAAGACTTGAGTGAGTGCAATCTCTAGGCTCCGGGTTAGGTAGCTCCTCTGAGATGCTGCACCTCTGGAAGAGAAAGGAAAGGGCAAGAAGCCTGATGCTTCCCCCAGTCAAAGCCAAGGCTCCACAGTCAAGGACTGGGGCTAGAAAGCAAAACGGAAAGGAAAGTGAACGATTCCCTCCATCCAGCCCAAACCTCCTCCAGGCACACACACTCTCACGGGACCACCAACCACAAAGCACCACTCCTAATTTCCTTCCCGCTGGAGCCAAATCCTGGCTAGTCTCCATAGCCTGAGGTTGAGGCTGGACGCGGTAGGAAGGAGTCAAGGAACAGGGGCTGAATTTTAGGTGGGGAAGATGGAACTCTAGCTCAGGAGGGAAAGGGCAAAGGGAAAGACAAAAGTTACAACCAGTAGACAGTCTGGGGGAACACGTGAAGGTTGGTGGGCAGGGACCAAGACAGGAGGTGGCGGGTGGCAGCGCGTGGGGCTCAGGATGCGGGAGCCTGGAAACTGGGACGCCCCCAGCCGCAAGAGCTAAAGGCTTAGGGCAGAGCTACGGGGACAAGGACCAGTTCTCACCGAGTGTGCTACGCCCCACAGGAACACGCCCACCAGCGGGTCGGCCGCCCGGAACACCTTCACCTTCTGCTGCACGAAATGCTTCTTCTTGGTTTTGGAAGCGAAGCCGAATCCCGGGCCAGGGCCCCCTGTTGCCGTCGGTGCGGTGGTTGGCGGGACCGAGGAGGACGCCATAGTCTCCCGCGCACCCGAGCGAGTAGAAGCGGGAGCCAGCAGCGATCAAGCCGCCCGACCCCGGAAGCGGTGCTCACCTGCACCTCCGTCACGTGACCGGAGGCTGGGCTGCAGGCGAGCGGGGCGGGGCGAGACTGGCTCCGCCCCCTGGTGCGCCCGTTTCCCCCCCCACCGGCGCAGTGGGCGGGCTCACCTGGCACTGGGCTGGAATGCGGGAGCGCAGTGCCCGGAGCGCTGCCTGCAGCCGCGCGAGGCTCTGGCAGGTCCACCAGGCGGCAGGGTGCGGTCTGGTCAGCCTGACTCACTCCCAGGTCGGGGGCTTCTTCCTTCCAGTTTTGCCCAGTTTCTAATGAGTAACCTCTGGTCTGAGGACGCATTTTTTTTTTTCCTTTTTCTTTTGAATGTGGCTCAGGCTGGCCTTGAACTTGCGATTCTCAGCCTCCAGAGTACTGGGATTACAAGGGTGCACCACCCCATCCGGCTCGCAAAAGCGTTTCTGTACAAAGTAGTTGTCAGAGAGGGGCAGGCATGGGAAATTCGAAATTCTTATCCCATGGTCCCAAGCATCTTTAAATTCCTTCATCTGTTCATCTATTCAGCAAGTATTTATTGGGCACTTACTCGAACCCCATACTGTTCTTCTGGCTAATTCTCTGATTGAAGTGGGGAATAAGAGTTTCCACCCTACAGGCGGTCAGAGTCTAAAGGCATTAGCCAAGGAGAAAGTGGCAATATTGGAGATAAGTGCTGAGTAGAGGCACTGCTGCTTGCTAGGGGAGCCTTCGGAGAGAATGGAGACTGCTGGGTGTGGAAGGCTGGGTGGAGTTCAGGACTAGGGGTTGAAAGGCTTACCAGGCAGAGACCAGTGTACAAAGACATGGAGACAAGAACTAGTCTGTTTCACGGAGGTGTAAGTAGTTCCAACTTGGGAACCAATGAGAAGGAAGGCTAAAAGTTAGAGAGGAGAGAGGGCAGGCATTGGAGATCCCTTATGTGGTTTGACTGTATTAAACTGTGCTTATAGAAGTACCACTCAGTCATCATTCTGGAGGAAGTCTGGAGTGTGGCACAAGTTCGTACATGGACAGTGAACTAAAGCACTGGCTGTTGAGTTGGAAGAAGGGGATGGGAATGGCATCTAAAGATATAATTTGTCATCAACTTGGAAAATTCATAATGGATGTGGGGTTTGAGGGAAAAGGGAGATAGTGAGAGAGAGTCCCAGGTTTCTGGCTAAAGTGAGGAGAGATGGTGATGACATGAAAATGAACCATTTCATGTTGGGGAAAAGAAGAGTTCAGTTTGGAACATGTTTGAGGCACCTGAGCAGAATGGTGTGGGCTGGGAATATAATTTAAGGATTGTTGTAGAAGCTGTGGGTGTAGATGACATCTCCCAGAAAGAGCAAGGAAAGGACCAAGGGCTGAACTCTGAGATAGAGCACTGTTTAAGTGGTTGATGTACCCAGGCTTGGTGGTACATGTCTGTAATCCCAGCACTCATGATGCTGAGGCGAGAGGATCACAAGTTTAAGGCCAGCCTGAGACTCTCAAAAACAGAAAACAAGGGCTCGAGGCATGGCTCAAGCAGTACAGTGCCTGCCTTGCAATTGTGAAGCTCTAAGTTCAAACCCCAGTACAATAAAAACAAAACAAAACCCACCAGCAAACAAAAAACAAAGAAGTTGGTGAAGGAACACTCAGAAGGAGAGGCCAGAGGTCAAGGAGCCAGGGGAGCAAAGTCACAGAAACTAAGGTAGTAGAGTTTCAGGAAAGAGTGGAGAACAAGGAGAGGTAAAGAAATTCAGGACTGAGAAATGCCTGTTTTATTTGGTAACTGGTAACTGTTGTGAAAACACTTTGAGCAGAACAAGAGCCAGAGCCAGTTCAAGGTGGGATGAAGAACAAATAGAGGGTATGGATAGAAGCCAGGCTCCTGCAATCCTAGCACTCTGGAGGCTGAGGCAGGAAGATCTCCAGTTTGAGGCCAGCCTTGGACTACAATATCCATACCCATTCTCAAAAGGTGGGAGGGGAGGGGGGAGAAGAAGGAGGAGGAGAGGAGAAAAGGGGAATAGTGTAGAGGGGAAGGGAGAGAAGAGAACAGGTCGGGTTAGGAGAGAAAAAAAATGAGTACAGGTGGGAAACTTGGAACTATTTCTGGAAATCTGGCTGTAAGAAAACAAGATCAGAATCACTTACAGAGAAACACAGAAAAGGAGGGATTCATTGGAAGGACCCCTTACAAAAGATCATTGAAACAGAAGTTAACAGAAGTTGCAGAAGATACATCTGCAACACTTTTGCTATTGTTTCATAGAAGTAACTCAAGAATTAAGTAGCTAGGGCTGGGGATATAGCTCAAGTGGTAGAGTACTTTTACCTGGCAAACCCAATCCCCAGTATGGGGGGGAGGAAGAGAAAAAAAAATTCAAGTATCTAGAAGGGACTCACTTTAGTCCAGAGAAAGGAGGTTCATCACTCCTCAGAGGGAGAAGGAAAGGATACTTGCATACATAGGTGTAGTTTGTGTGTGGGGGTGGAGGGTGAATTTCATGCTCAAGCCCCTCAATTCTCCCTCTTGAAGTCAAGGAGTGAGGGTTTAGGCTCTGGAAGGCAGGAGAGGGAATTAAGCAGGGATACACAACACAAGGAGGGGCACTGATTGATCAGCATGGAAGAGCCAAGTGGGTTTGGAAGCTCCGTTTGGTTGTGCAGTTTTCTCCATCGCAGAAGCCTTGAGAGATGAACAGAGACAAGTAGGGATTGTAAGCATGATTGTGGTAAATGATCTTGGAACAACAGCAAGCAAGGGAGCAAGACACACTGGAGAGAGAAGGAACTGATGCTAGGACTGAGATGATGGTCTGGATAAGAAATGAAGAGAGAGTGGGGTACTGATGGCTCACAGCTCTAATCCTAACTACTTGGGAGGCCGAGATTGGGAGGATCGTGGCTTAAGGCCAGCCCAGGCAAATATTTATGAGACCCCCATCTCGAAAATAACCACAGCAAAATGAACTGGAGGTATGGTTCAAATGATAGAGTGCCTGCTTTGCAAGTGTGAATCCCTGAGTTTAAATCCCAGTCCCACCCGCCCCCGGAAAAAATTAAAGCAAGCGATACCATTTTTTGTTAAAAAAAATTACAAACAACCTAAATATCTACCAGTAGTGTAATGGCTGAATAAATTACGGGATAAACATGAAAATGTTTGTATATTTTAATGAGATAAATCAATGTATGTTGAAAAAAGTCTCCAAGATTTATTGCCAAATGGAAAAAAAAAAGTTTATAAATGTGTGGAAAAACAAGTAAAAGGATAGCTAACACCCTGTTAAATGCAAGGAAAGGAGTGAGATTGACGAGGGATAAAGAAGATTTGCAACAACATAGGGCCATCATTGAATTTATTTTATTTTAAAGGTATCTCTGTACACCAAGTAAATACACACTGGACTTTGTGCAATTTGGTTTGTCTTCCACGCTGGCATGCAACATTTTGGCAGATGTGAGTGGGCAGGCTAGGTGCCCCTTGTGGGTGGTGACCCTGGCTCTCTGAAAGGGATGTGGTGAATGTAGGGAGCAGGAAGAGGATGTTGTGTGAAGCTTCTGGATGGTTTGTGCATGTGCGTGTGCGTGTGCGTGTGCGTGTGTGTGTGTGTGTGTGTGTGTGTGTTGTTTCCTACTGATGTTGTAAGTAGTACATCCTGCTAAAGAGAAGACTGCTCCCTCTGTTGTCACCTCTCTCTCTTCATCTGCCTTCTTTTTTGAAAGAATCATTTGGTGGCAAGATTACATAAAAACCCCTGTATCCTTAGGTGTCCTGTTGGCAAATGCTATCATAAATCCTCAGGTACACTGGTATCTTCCTTCTTCTCCCACTGGGTCTGGAGGCAGCACAGCACATCTACCCCACCCTATCCTCTTTTCTATGAATTGTGGCTTTAGGGTAGGGAAGCCAGACTAGACCCCCCTCCTCAGAGCAGTGGTTTTCAAACTACTTTTCAGAATCTTTGGTGTCTCTTAGAACTTTTTCAGGCCTCCTCAACTAATGAAGCATTTCCTACCAAAAAAAGAAAATGCAAACTGCCCAGATCTGCTTTACTTTACTTTTGTGGGTGGGGTTTATGTTGGGTTTTGTTTGTTTGTTTTTGCAGTATCAAACATCAGACTTAGGGCCTTATAATGCTAAGCATGCTAGGCAAGCACTCTCAGAACTACATCTCCAGCCTTACTGTATTTTTTTTTAACGTCTGAGTTCTACATAAGATATATTTTGAGGGCTAGGGATGTGGTTCAAGTGGTAGAATGCTTGCCTAGCAAGCATGAAGTCCTAAATTCAATCCCCAGTACCAAAAAAGAAAAAAAACCAAAAGATTTTGAAAAGTGTTTGAAAATTACCACTTTGGATTATTACACAGCCTTCTGAGTTTGGGGTTTTTTTCCCCCCTAACTTTCTCCTTAATGGCTAAAAAGGGGCCCAACAGGTAACAGAACAGGTACTCTCTCTCTTGAAGAATTCATGGGCCACTATGACTCAGCTGATCCTCTCACTTAGCTTTCTTTTCCAATCTAGAAGCCAGGTAATGGGTTCCCCTGCTGCTGGAGGATTGTGGTACTCTATCCTAGATAAAACTGGATGTCTGGACATCAGACTTTATTTCTTAATTTGGGCTGGCTAGTGACCTTCATCTCTGCAGTTACTGGAAAACTATCTTAGCAAGCAGAAGGAAAGGACCACCTGGAACTAAAGCAACAGTCCTGTTATACTCAGATAGGGAGGCACAGGCTGAGATAGATGGAGGAAGAACCCTGGGTCATACTCTTTGGCTCTGCCACTTCCAGAAAATCTGCCATGCCCCTTTCTTTAAAGTACACTTCATACCAAATGGGGACATTATAGAAGGAGGTGTTTGTGAGGGAAGAAATGTACACTGGAGAAAAGCCAGGCTCCAGCTTCAAAGGAAGGCATTTAGAGAGCGTTATTTTGCCAAGGAACTGAAAGCCCCAACCCAAAAGGCAGAGATGGGAAGAACATGCAGCTCAGTAAGGGAGAAAGGAATCCAGTTCATGGCTTCAACCTGAGGGCACTTTGACAAAAAAAAAAAAAAAGTACCTAGCAATTTCTCAGCTTATTCACCTCCCAGACCTAAAGAACCAATCATTCTGACCGCATTTGCCTGTAACAATCACCACAGACAAATAAGCAGCCATTAGGGTCTTTCTCCTCAAATTTTCAAAATATTTTTAATCAACTCTGAGTTCTGCTCATGAGATCTGGGGTAGAGAACCTCAAAAGGGACTTGGCTAAAAAGGAAAAATCCCTTGAGCAATCCATGTTCTCAGTCTGGCAGAGTGAGGGAGGCAAAAGGTAGACTTGATAGGATGGAGAAATATACCTGGAATCCCTTGATGCCCTCAGGTGAGGGTATATGAAGAAAATTGTATGTATAATTTAGTAGCCCTTCCATTTTACCCTCTCCTGTGCTATATGCAAGAAAGGAGGGAGGAAGGGTCTATTTCTCTGTCTTCTTAGGATGCTAAGACATTCTTCTGTTTAAGGCTTTGTATGTACATGTGTGTCTGTGTGTACATGTGCATGCATGTGGAGAGAGAAGGATCACAGCCCTCTAGCTCCTATTTTTTTTTATCATCTTGTGACTTCTAGTCAGTGACTACCACCACTCAGTGTGAGAAACGAATATATGAGAGAAGGAAGAAAATTCCCATTCCTTTCCTCCCTAGTGCCCCAAATGAGGAGGGTAGACTATACTTAGAAATTACTAAATACATTATCAGATACTTAGTAGGACACAGAGAGGAGAGACATAGCAGCAGCTTCTGATATACAGATACAGAGTACAAAGATATACAGAGTAAGTAGGAGAAGACATCAAACGGTACAGTCCAACAACAAGGGTTGGGGAGGAAGTTAGTATCAGAGACCACAGGTTTTGCAGCATGCTGAAAGAGGTCTCAGTCCCTCTTAGAAACTGGGGAAGAAAGAGAAAAAGAGTGTGAGGAACCAGCCTGCAGCCCAGCCACTGCACAGGAACAGGTGGCAATATACACACACTTTGGTTTATAGTCCTGTTCCTTTAACACCAACATTAGCCTGCCTTACCGCACTAGCCCACCCAGCCCTTGCCCTTCCATCCCTAGACCCTCCCTAAGTCCTCTTTCCTCTTCCTGCTTCTCTGATTCTCCTGCCTTTCTGCTTGTGTGTGCTTGGTCTGCTATCCTGAGAAGCCCCCAGGAAAGGACTTAGCTGGGATACAGCCCTGTAAGAAACTGGTCAGGTTTTCTCATTTCTAGTTCTCCAAGAATCCAAAGTGGACAACAACAGGATCCCATTACTCAGTTCTGGGCTTGAAAGCAACCATAGTGAGGATCTTGGTGACACAGGAAAACCAGGAAGGTGCCTGTGCTGATAGAGGAGAGGATCTGGGGACAGAGGTTAGGGGGAAAGGCTTGGAGGTAGAGAGACAGCTGTTTCCCACCTCCACTGAGCAATATGAAGGGAAAACAGTGCTGACACTATAGTTAGAGGGGTAAAGAGTTTGACTGGATAAGATATTTCCTAAAGCTTTTGGGTGGCACGTACAGGTATGAGGAGGATAGGACATAGGTGAGGGAGTAAATCAAACATCACCTTTCCTGGAGATGTTTTAGTTCAGGAAATCCCTATCCATCCAAGATTATTTTAGGGTGGAGGTAGAGGGAGGGTTGGGATCATCTCCAAAGGTCTCCTATTACCTATGATCTGTGTGTGACCTATGTGGCTATAGATAAGCAGTTGCTCCTTGCTCACTTCTTTTGACGTGTGGCAGTGACGCCTAGTGGCAGAAAGCAGTACTGTAGTTACTACTCTAGCCAAAGGGAAAGTTCTGGGGCAGGGAGGTCAGTGCCCAGATTACAAGGGGCAGCAGCAGGATGTGGTCCCTAGTAGAGGAAAGCAGGAGTTGAGGGGTAAATATATAGCAAAGGTTTTGAGATGGTTAAAAAAAAGAAAAAGGAAAAAGAATCAGGAGAACCAAAGAGACTGTGGGCAAGGAAGGGGACTCCTTGGGCCAGTCAGGGGAAGCATCTGGAGCTACCTGAAAGTGCAGGTATGTAGCCTTCACTGGAAGATTAGCTGGCTGCTGTCTCTTGATGGAGAGGGAAAAGCTTGGCCTGGTCCTCAGCCTCATAGCCACATGGTAGGTCACTCCTGGAGGGAGAGACACCAAGATCAGCTCCGAATAAATAAAAGACATTCCTGTCATGGTCACTGCCCTGATAGCATTCCTATGAGATAATAAAGGGCAGGGACACAGACTACGCATGCTTTACCGGGAAACACAAGGCCAGAGGGATGTAAATGGTTTACCCAAGGACATAGAGTTCCCAAAGGTAGGAGAAAAACCATCATCAGATGTCCATGGCATTTTCCCTCAGGCCCCAAAACTGGAATGGAGAGAGGCCATTCCAGGGAGTGGGAGGAGAGGACAGGGCTCTGCACAGAGACGGGAATACCTGAGATCTCCCTGACAACCCAGGAATGGCGAGAATGATTCTCATTTCCTCTTCCCTTCACTGAAAGCTACAGGGAAGGTCTAAGTAGGGCAGAGGGAAGCTTAATTATTTTTGCTGGGCCCACCCAGAGAACCCAAAGGTAATGGTGTACCTATTGTCGTTGATATCTGTGGCATTTCCTGGAAGATCACCATTGAGAACAGAGGGTTAGAAGAAAGGAGCTGGGTGTTAGGAGTGGTCTCCCTAGACCCTCTCCTATCCTAACCTCTCAAATAGGTAAACCGGGGCATTCTACCCTCAGCTACCCAAAGCTGCACCATTATTTTATTTGAGAAAAAGTCAGTCTTCTCCTGACACCTCACTAAGGAGGAGAGAAGGGGGCAGGCACAGTGATAGGACAAATCCACTCTGAAAGTTGGAAAACTGAAGAGCATCCATCTTTTCATCATTTCCCTTCCCTTCCCCTCCCTTCCCTTCCTTTCTTTTTTCTTGTCTCCTTCTCTTCTCTCTCTCTCTCTCTCCCTCCCTCTCCCTCTTTCTCTCTATGGTGCTAAACCTAGGGCTTCATGTATGTTAGGCAAGCACTTTACCACTGAACTACATCCTCTACATGAATCTTTTTATTTGAAGCCCTAGTACACTAGCAAGATTTGATTAGGGCTTGTTGAAAACTAGAGTCATTTACTTTTCTTATGCCTCTCAAAAGGCTGGATTACCCATCTTGGTCACTCACCATTGTCCATGTTAGCCTTCTGATAGGAAGCCAAGGGGCTGCCAGAAGACGTGGCTCCACTGCTGTTACAGGAGTTAGCAAAGCTGGATGGAGCAGAGGAGAGATGTAGCAGAAATTGAGAAAGGATTAGAAATGAAGCTACTTAGGAAAATAATTCTCAACCAATAATTGACCCAAAACTATGATTTATGGGGTACAGGGAACCTTGGGTTAGGACCCTAGTCCACACTCATAGTCACTCACTATATATCTGAGGTGGAACTAGGTGCAGCCTGCAGATACAGATTCTGGTAGTTCTGGAAGAGGCTGTTAGTGTAACTGATGCACTCGGGGCTCCGGGTTCCATAGGGATTGGTGGGTGAGGATGCAGGGTAGTGGCCAGGCCTCACAGGTTTGGCTGTGAAAGAGAAAAAAACAACCATGAAGAGGTTATTTGCTCTCCTGAATTGCCCTGGTCCCTGAGGTCATTTTGCTAGAGTTGTAAGAGAATTCATCATTTTTGGGGTGTGTGGGTGGAAGCAGCAGGGGACTAGAAGCAATAATGTAGTTGGTTTGGCACCTAGGAATTTGCTGAATTTCCTCTAGGAGGTAATTCCATCTCACCTACTGACGTCCACTTACCAATCTGGGCGGAATGGCCCCGCTTGCCCGAGCTCTTGTACCGCACAGCCTCCTTGATGCGGTCCACCTCCTGCTGGTACCGGCGCTTATCTTTCATGGCACCCTCCTTGGCCTCCTTCAGTGCACCCTCCAAGGCCTTAACTCTCTCAGCCGTAGCCCTAAGTCGTTTTTCCAATTTAGGAAGCTCACAACGCAGATCTGCATTGTCACGTACCAGCTGTGGGGTGAGCCAAAGGGAAGAGGCCGAAAGAGAGGCGAGCAACCCAAGATATAGTCACCCAGTGGAGTGTGGGGGTGAGGGGTAGGAAAAGAGAATAAAGAAAAATCAAGAGTCAGAGAAGTCAAGGACCACATCATTTCCTCGAAGGACTCGTTCCATTTATGTAATATGCTGTCTATCCAGTTCTTTCATTCTCCTTACATCATTTTCAAGGCAGCAAAACCTGCCATTTCTGGAACTCCTGTGACAGTGCTCTGTTGCAGTTTCCATCTGACCTGTACACTCCCCTCCACTGTATCTCACAGCTTGTGGCAGACTAACAACTCCAGGACCCTGATGGGGATGAGGCACCCCCTTCCCAGAGATGGTTGTGTGGGCATGCAAAGGGCAGGACAGCAAGAGCACAGGAGCAGTCTGGAGGGTGAACTGAGGACTAGTGCAGGTGGGTGCAGTGCAGAGCAGGTGCAGAAGCAGTTCAGGAGCCCCCACACACTCACATACACACGGCACTCCATAGGAAGGAAAGAAAATGTTTGAGGTCTCACACACATTTGTGCTTATTACCTTCATGTTCAAGGTTGTTCCTCCCCCTTTAAATTAAGTTAGAGCATGGTAGCAACACCTTTGCAACCAGAAAAGACTCCATCATCCTTTTGCAGGGTGCTATACAATAACTGGGGGTATTACTGACTACAAAAGGATCAGAGCCCTGGGGGTTATCAGGTAAGTCGGCATAGCAGGGAAGATGGCAGGTAAAGATACAGAGCCAGAACCTGTACATCTTTGGATAGGTTATGGATTATAATCAATGTTTTACTATGATGCTAATTTAGCTTAATTAGTAATAGGACTGTAGCCCTGGCTATTAAGATTCTGCTGAGAAGTTTGACATCTCTTTCTTTTTCCTTCTTGGTCTTGTGTTGCTAAGTAGGACACTGTGGTGAGTCCTCTATTCTTTGATGGTAGCAGTTTTCGGACTTTGGGATTAGAGCAGAGGCTTTGATGAGGGAAAAGAAAGCAGCCTCTTTTTAAAGAGCAGGTTAATAAGCATTTTTGACAGAGGTAAAGTAGAATGAAAATAGAATAGCAGAACTGATTATAAAGATTTCCTAGCTGCTTTTCAACTTTTCTATAAGGTTGTTACATCATTTTATAATAAAGAAAAGAATAAAAGATGGTAATAAAGCCCTCTACAGGCCCAAATAAAATGAACTCTGTAGATTATCACTGAGTCCCAGGTTTGGGAACTTTTCATTACAAAAAAAAAAAAAAAAAAAAACTTTGAGCATTTACTACATAGGCTGTGCAACACATTGGGAAGAAAAGAATAAAAAGAAGTTGAAGTTCCTGGCTAGTGAAAATAAGAATTTGAGTGGAATTTTAAGGTGGACTTGAGAGGAAGGGAAGGAAGTCTCAGTTGCAGTTTCTTTTAGGAACCAAAAGAGCTGGTTGACAGACTGTTGAGCCTGTGTCAAGGCTAGGCTTTTTGGCACTAGTGCAGATGCTCCTGCTGTGCACACACCAAACATTTCCTGACTCCTCTAGACTGCATTTCCACCTCCCCAGCCCATACCTTTGAAACCCAGTCATCCAACTAAGGAACCGCAGCAGCAAGGAGGGGGACAGAGAGGCAGCAACTCAATACACAGGAGTTTTTTGGGCCATCTCCATTTAATGTCCTGCATACCTGTCTCAGGCCTAGGCAGCTGGAGTTCTCCCTACCAGAGAAAGCTCAATTTCCATGATTTTCTTGTCTCCTGGCCTTCCATCTCTGGCTAAAATCTGATACCAGTATCCTCCTATTTTTCCCCCCGGTGCTGGGATTTGAACCCAGGGACTTGTGTATGCTAGACAAACGCTGTACCACTGAGCTACATCCCCAGCCTCTGGTGTCCCTCTTGTATAGAGGGAAATTGCCCCATGCCTCTGAAGCTCTGTACATTTCAACTTCTCCCTTCAAGGCAGGCCAGGGATTCCTCTTTGTGAGAAGGTGCATCAAAAATTTTGAGAAGGGAAACAGGTATCAGACAAGGAATAAGGTAAAAAAAAGAAAACAAAAAAGAGCAAGGTAAAAGTGGGTCCAAATATGATATAAAGAAGGACTTAGTAGAGAAAATAAGAGAGAAAAGTAAAGAAATCATGCTAGATTTTCCTAAATCTAAGGGACCTCTGAGGATTTGGGAGCTAGCCTCAAAAATTCTCTTTGCTTCTTCTCTGGAGTCTTACCTGTTTGTGAACCTTTGTAAGCTGTTCCAGGTTGTTCTCAAGAAAGGAAATCTTCTGTTTTTGGGAATGAATCCCCCCACTGTCCTCGGGCTCCATTTCTGCACTCTAGTTAGAGAAAGAAGGAAAGATGTGGCTGTCCTGAGGCCAAATGGGTCCCACTCAGGTCAGACCAAACCAGCCCCACAGAGGGCAGCAAACCTGGAGAAACCTGAGGAGAGGAGGACAGTATGAGATGGGTAAGACCCCAGGATAGAACTCACTTTCTTGACTCGAGTTGTGACGTCTTGAACGAACAGCTTGCGAAGGTTGTGGAGGGTCTGGAGTTCCCGGGCCTGGAAAGAATGATGAAAAATTGAGGATAGCCAGATACCAGCTCTAACTTCTCCCTCCAAAATTATTGAAACCTTCAGTTCATATAGTCCAGTGAGTCACTCATCCTTTAGGAAAATATGTATCCTGATTACACTATACACTAATTGCAAAAGGGCAGGACAAAGGGGTTTAGGAAGAAATCGGTGGGTAGGGAGGAGGTGGTATGGGAGATATGAAGCCCCCTCCCACCCTGTTAACATAAAGAAGAAATCCACTCACAACTGTCTCCTCCAGACCCTTGAGGTCCTGCTTGGACTGCTCATGTCGCTCGTACAGAAATCTGCAGCAAGAGAGATAAGGTGAAGGAGGGAAACAGAAAATCCCCCAGTACGCTCCTTCTTCTCCCTCCTCTTCTATTCCTGATGTCTTTGTTTTCCATTATTTATTATATGAGTTACTTATGTTTACTGTGAAAGAATTAGGAAAGAATTTTTTTAAAGGCCCATGATTCTACTACCTATAGATCAAACCACCAGGTGCCCATCTTTGCAGACTGCTTTGTCTATGCATATATATTCATGTACAAATTTTCATGGACACATACCATTCATACTATCTAAGAATCTGCATTTTACACTTAACAGAATATCACAAGCCTCTTTCCAGTCATGTCAGCCAATGCTCAGTAGCAGTCATTTCTGATGATCTCCCCCTTTTTCCCTTCCCCACCACATCACATTGCTCTCCAGTGAGTCTCCACATCATGGCTACACACATGTCCTGCCTCTGTAATCACGTCACTGTGGCAAATCTGAGCCTATTGGCAGTGCCTATTGGCAAATCTGTCACTCACGTCAGCTCCTGAAGCTTGGCACTCTTCTCATGCTCTTCATTCTTCAGCTTCTCATAGTCAGCTTGAAGCTTCTCCAGCTCTAACTGGAGCTTCTGGTTCAAACTACAGAAGGTCAGGAGCATTGGAGAGAAAAAGATGCTAGTGAGTAGGAAGGGAAACCAGTCTCTCAAACACTTGCCTTCTTCTTGCATGAGTGAGTGCAGGTAGAACTGATATATCTACCTTCAGATATCACGAGCATGCACAAACCACCATTTCCATGACAGTAAAGAACTTTCAGCTCTCTAGAAGAGTCACAAGGATAGGGCTATATCTTACTCTTCGTGACTCCCGAAACTGGGCTCAACATTGTGTCATTGTAGAAGGGAGTTAAAGATCCATAAGGATCAACTGAGTGGGTACAACGAGGTGAGAGGACCTGGTGGAGACTGGAACCACCCTCAAGGGCTCTTACTCTTTGAGCTCATCAATAATCTTCTGTTTCTCATTGATCTCATCCCGGAGTCGAGCCAACTGCCGGTGATGGGCCTCTCGGTGACTCTCCATCTGCAGCTCCAGAGCCTTCTGCAAACAATCCCACCCCAAGCTCAGAGCCAGACTCCCAGACACACAGTCTGTGAGGGCCAGCACAGCCGTTACCCTGCCAGGCCTTGGTTGCCCCCACACCTTCACACTCACCTTCACTTCATCTGCATCCTGTGTATCAGGTTCCTTGTCCTTCAGGGCTACTTCATGCACAGTTTCTAAGAGGAAGACAGCTTAATCAAGCCTCCCTCCTTCAGAAAGAACCTCATGTTGTGACCAGAGCTCCAGGCAGAATAGGGATGAGTCACAGTGATGTTCTTCTGGATCAGGACAGTTCAATTTAACACAGCAGGACCAGAGAAGAATGGTGGGTTTGTGGTTCATATAAAATAAGCTGCAAATGCCTGACTAAATAGCACATGAGCGGGCACCCATGATTCAGACTGATGCTTTGGATGAGGGGCCATCGGGTGGTTTCTTCTGATGTCTGTGACTTTCCCTCCCTGTCCCCTCTAGGATCTCAGATCCCAGGATATCTGCAATGAAGGTCTAAGAAAGTCTCACCCTGGGCTTGGAGCTTGGCCAGTTCATCACTTAGAGAATCATAGGACTCTTCCAGGTGCCGCTTCTTCAGCTCCACACTTTGCATGTATTCCGTAAGCGAGCGGATCTTAGCCTCATGCTGGTGCAGAAAAGTTGGTGAGACAGAGATGAATGGAACAAAAGACCCAACTCTATAAGCTCCAGCTTCTCTCCCAGGCCCTCCCCTCCTGCTGTCCCTTCCATGAGGATACAGGGCTTGGACTATTCCCATGAAGACTTCCTGTACACTCTCAGCAAAGAACGCATTTCTCTTCTCCCCACCCCCAGTTTCACTTTTTTACTCTGGAGTATTTGTGCTGATGCCCCAACTCTTCTGTCCCTAATTTCTATTGGCTCAAGGACACTGACCTAGGAGTGGGTATTAGGAATTTTATCTATACCATAGAGTAGCCTCCCAGAGCACCCAAAGGCTCTCAACCTCAGGTACTCACCTGCGAGATGAGGAGCTGGCAGGATGAGAGCTCACGCCCAGTCACCTCCATCTTGCGATGACATTCCACCTGGAGGTTCTCCAGCTGCCGGCACCGCTTGACCACAGACTTGACTTCTGATTTGATTTTGCTGATGTAGAGCCTGGCTACGGTGAACTCCTCCTCGATGGCCCCGCTGATCTCCACTGGCTAAGGATGGGCAGAAGAGGGAGAGCTGCTTCTCTGCAGTAGAGAAGCCTTCACCACTCTCTGCTGCCCTCTGCCTTTGCCACACACCCCCACATGCACAGGGACTCAAGTGGAACTGGCATGTCTGAATAATCTTAATCAGCTGGCTACCAACTGGCATTTCACATTACTATCTGTATGGAAAGATCCAATTCCAACAGTCCTCCTCTTTTGCCATAAAAAGCAGTATGACTGCCAGGTGCTGGTGGCTCACGCCTGTAATCCTAGCTATGCAGGAGGCAGAGATCAGGAGAAGCAAGGGTCAAAGTCAGCCTGGGCAAATAGTTCATGAGACCCTATCTCGAAAAAAGCCATCACAAAAAAGGGCTGGTTGAGGGCTCAAGGTGTAGGCTCTGAGTTTAAACCCCAGTACCACAAAAAAGAAAAAACAAAAAGCAATGACTTTTTTTTTTTTTTTGAGACAGTTGCTATGTAGACCAAGCTGGCCTCTCCCCTTGCCTCAGTCTCCCAAGTATGATTTTTTGCTTTCATTCATTTAATTTGCATTATTGGGAACTGAATGTAGGGCCTTGTACTAGGTTAGGCAAGTGCTCTACCACTTGAACCATGCCCTCAGCCCATTTTTTTGTTTTTTGTTTTTTTGAAATAGGGTCATATAGCTAATTGTGCCCAGGCTAGCCTTAAATCCTCAATCATCCTGCCATAGCCTCATGAATAGCTAGGATTAAAGGTGTTCACTACCATGCCTGGCTAACTCTTGCTTTTTTGTGGTACTGGATTTGAACTCAGGGCCTGCATCTTGAGCCACTCCACCAGCCCTTTTTTTTGATGGTTTTTTTCAAGATAGGGTCTCACAAACTATTTTGCCTGGGCTGGCTTCGAACCATGATCCTCCTGATCTCTGTCCCCTGAGTAGCTAGGATTACAGGCATGAGTCACCAGCACCTAGCCCTAACTCTTGCTTTTTGAGATGGGGTTTCACTATGTTGCACAGGTTGGTCTTAAAATCTTGGGCTCAAGCCGATTCTCTTGCCTCAGTCTCCTGAATAGCTGGGACTACACATGCACACCACTTGATTTTCTTTTGTAGATAAATTGGATCTGCCTAACACCCAAATAAAGTTATTCTTACATGCACAGATTTGCATGTCATTCTTAACCTTGTGCCCTACCTCTAGGTCCTGCCATAGGCACATTTCTGTCACTTCTTTATTCATACCCTTTAGAATGTGTCTTCTCTGTTAAGCCTATGCAAACCTCTACTTGTTTTTCTAAGTCTGAACACGTTTCTTTTTTTTTTTTTTTGAGGCTGAGTCTCCCGATGTAGTCCAGGTTGTTCTTGAACCTCCAATCCTCCTACTCAACCTTCCGAGTGCTTGGATTACAGGTGTGTACCACCATTCCTGGCCTTCTGAAGGCTCTTTGGCTCTGTGGCTCTTTGGGCTACCTTTCTCAGTAACCCAGAGGGCCTGGATTGTTTCACCTTCCCCCACTCCAGTGCCCAGAGCAAAAATGACCTGCACAAGACTGCTGTCTCTCCCCACTCACCAGCTTAATCTCCCCGTTGCCCACGATGACGCTGAACTCACTCAGGTCCTTCATTAGCCCATTCAGCACCTCAGCGATTCGTTTTCGCTGGTGTCCACTGACCTCCTGGAGCCGCTGCAACTCAGACTCCAGGGACAGCATGGTGGCCTGGAGACAGTCCCTCAGGTCATTCCCGTCACCATCCTCCTGTTCCCCTCCCCAGCCCAGACAGAAGCCTCTGGAAGAGAGAAGGGCCAGGACAGCAAAGTGCAGCAGCAGGGCAGGGGAAGGTGTCATGACACACTAAACAGCAGTGCAGAGGTGCCAACACCAGATAGCACTGGAAAGAAGCTGAGGTGCCATTGGACATGGAAGGTCTTCTGAGGTCAGGGAGCCCTTGGGCCACCAGCCACTCACCACCTTCTGGGACAGCTCATCCACCAGAAGCTGGTTCTGCTGGCTCTTCTCCTCCACCTCCTGGGACTTCTGGTCATAGTTCACTGCCAGCTCCTCCAGGGCCTGCAGCACTTCCTTCACCTCATCCTTTGCAGCGTCATTCTCTGACTGCAGGTGGCTCAGCTCCCGCTGAACCTTCTCGTTGTCTCCTCGAGTGGACACCAGCAGCTTCAAAGGAGAGGACGGGCATGTGAGGGAGCATGCTGTCAGTGACCACTTCCATGGCCTTTGGGTCTGGGGGAGTTGAGCCCTTCCCTACTGTCAAGCAAGAGTCAAGAGGATGTGGGATTTAGGCTTCACAAAAATAGGGAAACAGAATGTGGAAGTACCTGAACTCCACCATCTAAGTTTTAAGAACAGCCCCAGTGAAGTTCCCAGATTTCAACAGTTTTTGTGGGTGAATAGCCCCTAAACAGAATGCCCCTTCTTTTTTTTTCTTTTGGAGGTACGAGGATTTGAACTCATGGCCTTGTGCTTGCTAGGTAAGCACTCTACCAAAGCTACACCTCTAGCCAGAATGCCCCCTCTGCATCTGATTTTAAAGAAGCCTTTTATTTGCCTGGCAGGGATGAACACAAACCCCTTTTTGTTGGCATCTCCCTCTCTCCCATTACCTCCTCCTGGTCCAGCATTTGCTGCTTGAGCTTTTCGATGAGTTGGCTCTGCTGGTTGATCTCGTCATCCTGTTGAAGGCAAGGGGGAGATCGTAAGAGAAGCTATTTTTTCCAGTTTAGAGTTCTGGGGCCAGGGAGAGAGGTAGGATCCCACTGAAAATCCAGACAGTGTAGGCTTTAAGTCAGAAAACTCATATGCTACAAAGAAGTCTTTTTCCCTCCCTGACAGCGCTCACTTAAAAAAAATTTTTTGCAGGAAGTTGGTATAACCTTGACACAGCAAAAGCCTTGACATGTTCATATCTTTAACCTAGAAATCCCACTCTAGCAATCCATTCTAACTAAGTCATTTAAAAGAAAAAATCTTAGGTATAAGAGACAAAGATAAATAACAAAAACAAAAAAACAAGCCCTGTAGCTAGGAGTTATAGTACATGCCTATAATCTCAGCACACAAGAGGCTAAGGTGAGAGAATCTTGACTTCCAGGCCAGCCTGAGTTACACAATGAGACTCTGTCTCAAACAAAACAAAAACAAACAAGTTGGGCTGGAGGCATGGTCAGGTGATAAAGTACTTACCTAGCAAGTGCAAGGCACTGAGTTCAAACCCCAGTACCACACACACACACACAAACTAAGCCCTGTAAATACATAAATGGTTAAATGTATTTGGAGAAATGGACCCTGAAGCAGCCATCAGTTAAAAACACTTTTATAAAAAATTGTTAGTGAAATAAAAAATTGCTCGTAATGCTAAAAGAAAAAATTAAATGTAAAATTACATATACAGTAACCTAAGTGCCTGGTATAGGCACAAAGAAAAGCAAAATGTTAACGGAATGGTAGGGTGAGAGATAATCAGGAAAAGATAGTACATGGGCTGTGGAGCAGCTCAAGCAGTAAGTATGCCTGCCTAGAAAGCATGAGGACCTGAGTTCAAACCCCAGTGCTGCCTCCTATCTCCCCAAAAAAGTAGAAAAAGGTGGTACAAGCTAACTTTTGTAACCTCTCACCTCCTATCCCACTGCGCCCTGCCCAGACGCCCTTACCTTGTCGTCAAGCTGTTTATAGAGGCGGCGGATCTCCTCCTCATATTTCTGCCGCTCCTCTGGTGCGATGCGCACCACAATGGATGAGTTGTCATTCACAGGGGTCTCCTCACAGACCTCAGCTCCCAGTGTCTCATCCTCTCCAGCCAGGCGCTCGGTCTCAGGCACATTCTCTCCTGGCAAAGGGGTAGAATGAGGGGAAGGATGAAGAAGAGAAGGTTGTATATACAAGTCCTTCTTCCCTCACTCCTCAGTGGGCCGCTCTCATCCAAGTGGACCCTCCACCCTTTGGGGGATCACAGTGGGTAGTCAGACCCTCTTTTCCTTCCCATCACGACTGCTCCACTGCACCCATCCAGAAACACAGTCCCTTCTTTCTGGAGACTGGCCTGGCCTTAAACACACCAAGACAGGGCTGTCCCTAAGCCACCACCTCCTACCATCTCTTGTTCCCAAAGGATCCCTCTCTAACCATTGCGCCACCGACTCAGCTCAGCCTCCAGTTTTGCAATTGTCTCCTTCTGAGCCTTGGTCTTCTCCTTCTCCTTCTCATATTTCTTCTTCCACTGCTCAGCAGTCAACTCCAGATTCACTGAAGCAGTGTTCTTAATAGTCTTTGCCCTGGGTGAAGAGAAGAGGACAAAGAGACAAGACCTGCATTAGACTTGGGTGACACTGAGGGGAAAGAGCCACAGGGGCTGAGTGGGAGTCAGGCCCCAGGGATCTCACTGGGGACTCTGTCACTGACCTCTGCCCAAACATCAGCGTGGACTTGGTTTCTGCATCATTGTAACTGGATGGTGAGCAGCAGATGAACATGGTTGTCCTGCAGTTCCCTCCCAGAGAGTCCTGGAGAATCCGTGTCATTTTGCTGTCACGATATGGAACGTAGCTTTTCTGGGGCAAGAGAAAGACAGTGATTCAGAAAAATAAATTCAAAAGGGACACAGAAAGGATAGTGGTACCGACTAGGGACTGAGCAATCCGTGAATTGGGGCACAGTTAGAGGGAATGTTAGAAGGTGGAGAGATGGGGTGGGGTTTGAGGGATGAAGGAGACCTAGAGAATACTTACTGTGCCCTCAGCCAGTGCAGAGATCACATTCCCCAGGGCTGACAGTGACTTGTTGATATTCTTTGCCTCATCCAGCACAGCTCCCTCTGCTCCAGTCTTGCTGACCTGATAGAACATTAAGGGACCAGGGTGTCATGATTAGCTGCAAAGGCTGTCACCTCCTCTTTTCCACGAAAGGGGGCCCAGCCCCAAAAAAGGGGAATAAATAGGGAAGCAAACAAAGTAAGAGATGCTTGGCTATTATCAGTGAGGCCTTTTTTCTATTCTCCTAACTCTCTTGCCAAAGGCCACTCCCCACCCCCATATTACATAATTCCATTTATACAAAATGTTCAAGATAGGTAAATCCATAGTCAGGAAGTAGATTAGTGGTTGCCAAAAAATGGGTAGCAGGAAGAATGAGAAGTGACTGTTAATAGGTGATGAAAAGGTTCCAGAGCTGAACGGTGGTAATGGTTGTCCAACCTTGAGAACATACCAAATGCACTGGCCTGTACACTTTAAAATGGTGAACTTTTTAGTTACGTGAATTTTTAAGATTTTCAATTAAAAACAAATCAACCTCCTCCAAGGCTTCTTTCTTCACCCACCCACCCTACCCCACAGGATCCCCAACCTTCTCACTCCCTGCCAGGTCCACAAGATACAGCTTTCCACTCAGCTTCTGCTCAGTCTCCATGTTCTCCTGCTTGATGTTGATAAGGAATATGCTGTGGCTTCGAGAGCTATGCTCATTCATGTCTGCAGGAGGAGGGGAGAGACAGGACCTGGGCCAACCCCCTTGGAACTGCAGCCCTCAGCCACAGTTGACTATTGGCTGCGATTCTTACCCACCAAGAGAAAAGGACCCTCCAGCACCAGGTCTGCCACCTCATCTTCCTGGGCAGCAGGCTTCACAGGCAAGGAGAGGTCCTTCTTCTGGTGGACACAGTCCTCCCTTGCTCACTTGCCCCCAGGAGGACACAAAAGAGAGGCAGGCAGCCCTCCAGACTCACAAGTCTCTTATATCCCCACTTACTGGTGACAGCCACATGACGATTTGATTTTCCCTCATCAATCACATCCAAAATCTCCTCTGGGCTGGACACGAATCGCTCAGTACAACCCTGCAAGGGGCAAATGGACCGTGACCCATAAACTTTGATCTGAAAATTAAATAGCCTGCATAACGCCCAAGTGACCTCCCAAGCCCCCCAGACTCTTCCCAGCCTCTTGGCACATCTCATCCATCAACTTCTGGGTCACTGACCCATCCTCCTCCCTCTCATCCACTATCCACTCCCTGGCTCTACACTGGTGTCTGCCCCACTCTCACCTTGACGAATGGCACCCGATTCTTGTCCTCATGCACAGACAGGTTTGTCTTGGTCACTGAATCAAGACAAGGCAGGATGAGCAAGGCCAGTGCTCCCATCCCACCCCTCCACATCCTGCATTTATGCTCAAAGGAGGAGGATCTCCAGGTGAAGCACAAACTCCATGTTGTCATTGAAGGCTCAGTTCCTCCTCCTCTTCTCTGGACTCTAGCTGTAGGGTGCAGGCTCTTCTCGGGTCTCTAAACTCATCTTCTGACTCTTCCAGTGTTGGGAAATTCTTTTTTTTTTTCAGTACTGGGAATTGAACCCAGAGCCTCATACATGCTAGGTAATGAGCTACATACCCAGTTCTTTTTTATTTTTTTATTTTGAGACAGGGTTTCTCTATGTAACTCAGAATGGCCTCGAACTTGTGATCCTCCCACCTCAGCCTCCTGAGTAGCTTGGATTACAGGTGTGTACCACTGTACCTGGATAGGAATTCTTGGTGAGTAGAGCCAAGAAAGTCGGGTGTGAGGGAATGTACTAACCAGTACCTAATCCTCAGAGAAAGATGATCTTTTTTTTTTTTTTTTTTTTAAGATGATCTTTCTTTCCTCACCCTCCTCGCACACCTTTACCCATCTAGGGCTAAATACACTCACCATCTAGGAGGTCACGAATTTTGTCCAGGTAAATCTCAAAGTAAGAAACCTAGTTAGGAAGAAAGGAGTATGATATGAAGATGGTTTATCTTAAGTCTAACACAGGAATCGCAAACTAATGTGACCTGATCAAGACGTGGTGATAGCTGGGAAAGGACCCAAGAGAACATCTTGGTGGAGAAGAAAAACTGAGGTAACCAGAGAAGGATAAAGCTGGGGAACTCAGGATCTTCAGGGGGTTCATTCTAGACCTTCCCTTCCCAGTCCCCATCTAAGGATGCCCAGTTGTCATGTCTTAATCACCTTGATGTGGAACTCAAGGTTCTCATCCATGGAGTAGATGTGGTTGAAGATGTCTCGGGCAATTCGAGGAATGATTCCCATCAGCTGAGGGTCATGTAGCTTTCCCTGTAGAATGAAGGCATTTCAGCATGAGGCTGAAGCTCAGAAAGGAAACAACTCAGAGGTATGTAGGGGAACACAAAGGTAAGAGGTGACAGGAAGGGCTGGCAGAGTGACTCAAGTGGTAGGCCTAGCAAGTGCGAGGCCTTCAGTTCAAACCCCCAATACCATCACCACCACAACCAAAAAAAAAAAAAAAAGGTGACAAGAAGAGCATCCTAAATTAGGAGACAGTCACCACTATGGATATGGAGATAATTTTAATTGCTGTTGCTGTTCCAGATCAAAAGAAGACAACTGGAATGTGGGAAGGAGGCAACAGAACTTGAAGGGATTCCACTGAACTTTCCCAGTAAGTTGCTCCTCCGTTCATCTGCTGTACTCATCTGCCTCAGAATCAGGCCACCCCTGATTCCCAGATCATCCCCCCTTGACACCCCTATATCCTTGCCTCCACAGTCAGAGCCCTCACCTCCATGGTATGTGTTTTCCCTGAGGATGTCTGTCCATAAGCAAAAATTGTGCCATTGTAGCCAGCAAGGACATCTGGAAAAGATGGTGGAGAAAGATCACTGATGGATATAAGTGGGGCAGGGGATCGAGAGGCTGGGAAAATCAATTCTAAAAACACATCCATTACCTTTGACGATCTGCATGGCACATGCATGGTAAACTTGCTCCTGAGTCGTGTTTGGGGGGAATACACGGTCGAAGACATATGGCTTCCCCTTGAGTGGAAATAAATGACATCAGACATCAGCAGCAAGAGTGGGAAGGAGAAGAAATATCACATATCCTTCCATCAACCTGAAAGGCACCCCATTCTGCAATCCTCCTAATTCATGGGAAAATTGGAGAAATGAAAAAACCTAGAGAGAGAAGTAGTTTAGTACTGATACCAGGAGAAGTACTTGTGAGGTAAGTGTCACTGAGAGGCATCACACAGTGACACTATGTTGAGGAGGTCCTAATCTTGGTGTGATGATTTCACATCCACCATGCCCAAACCCCTCTCTGGGAAAACAAATGGAAAAGACAAAAGAAAAGTCCAAAGTGAAGAACAATTCATTAAAAATGTCTTCCTCAATAGATCCACATGTCTTGATATGGAAAGTTCTTCAAGATTTGTTAAGTGAAAGATACCAAAAATTGGTGACACAGTAGTCTTCCCATTAGTGTAAATGAAACATACACACACTGAGAACCGTTGTAGAAACACTAACTCTAGTTCTCTCTTTGGAAAGAAATATATGAAATCAGATATATGAGTCTCCCTTTAAAGGAATGTAGCTTAGTGAAAGAACACTTGCCTAGCTTGCATGAGGCCCTGGGTTCAAGTCTAAGCACAGAAAAACAAAACAAGACAAAACACAAGAACCCACAAGACTGTGCAGTAAATCCTTCAGACCCCAAAGTATTTTACTTAACTCAGGTAATATGCTGAAAATCACGTGTCTTGATAACAAAGTTAAAGATACAAAATATTTAAAGCTCAGGAAACTAACCAAAGAATACACTTGACATCTAATCATAATAAAAGTCTGTTCTCTGCTAAAATTAAGTAAGAATATGTTTGCTCACTCTCGTAAGTGACAAGTTTCTCAGTTGTGTTTTCCTACTATCATTATAAAGACTTAGCCAGGTGTGGGGTGGTAAACACCTATAATGCCAGCTACTTGGGAGGTGGAGGCAGAAGGATTATGAGTTCAATACCAGCCCAAGCAAAAGTTAGGGGGACCCTATTTCAAAATAGAAGAAAAAAAAAAAGGAACAAAAAGTACAAAAAACCCAAAAACCCACCACAAAAGAGACAGGGGAGTGACTCAAGTTGTAGCGTGCCTGCCAAGCATGCTAGAGACCCTGGGTTCAATCTCCAGTACTGCAGAGAAAAAAAAAAAGACAGGCACCAGTTGTTCAAGTCTGTAATCCTAGCTAATTTGGAGGCTGAGTTTGGGAAGATCACAATTCAAGGCAAGTTGGGACAAAAAAGTTCATGAGACCGCATCTCAACCAATAGCTGGTGGTGGTGCTGATCATCCCAGCTACTTGGGAGGTTGACATTGGGAGAATCACAGATTAAGGACAGCCTGGACAAAAAGGTTTGCAAGACCCCATCTCAACAGAAAAAACTAGATGTGGTGGCACACACCTGTCATCCCAGGAAACCTAAAATAGAAGATCACAGTCCAGGCCAGCCTGAGCAAAAAACAAGACCCTATCTCAAAAATAACCAAAGAAAAAGGGTTGGATGTGTAACTCAAGTGATAGAGCACCTGCCTAGTAAGTAGAAAGCCCTGAGTTAAAACCCCAGTACAACAACAACAAAAACCCAGAAGTATGACTTACTTGTCAAATTATTTTACTACAGAGTCCACTTTTGCCCAAGTGACTCCAAATCTACCCATAGCTAAGTTTGTGAGGTAAGTTTTAACAAATTAAGGGAGGTCATAAAACTTGGCTAGAGCAGATAGGTGGCTGAATGCATGGATCTATAATATTGTATCAATATACTCACAGTTTTTTTCTAGAAGGAACTATACAAAAGTGTTGACAGTGGTTAGTTTAGAGACAGAAACTGGGAGAGAGGAGGCTTTCCTTTTTTATTGTATAGCTTGAATTGTTTATGTTTTTAATGATATAAAAACATCATTAAACAGTTTGCATGTTTTAATATCAGAGAAGATAAGACAACAGTGCATTCATTTGTTTTCTTTGTAGCTTAGACTGGCCTGGAACTCATGACTCTCCAACTTCAGCCTCTCAAGTGCCTATAAAGGCATGCACCACCACCATTTGTTTTATTCTTTTTATTTTTTATTTTTATTTCATTTTTTAGTTTTATTTTTTAGTTTTCTTTGGTGGGACTAGGGTTTGAACTCAGGGCTTCACACTTGCAAAGCAGGCACTCTAGCGCTTGAGCCACACCTCCAATCCATTTTGCTCTGGTTATGTGGGGGTTGAGGGGGTGTCTCACAAACTATTTCCCCGAGTTGGCCTTGAACCACAACCAATCTCAGCCTCCCAAGTAACTAGAATTACAGATATGAGCCACAGGCACCTGGCAATTTGCTTATTTTATTCCTTATTTTTCTTAGCATAAAGAAAAAAACTAGTAAATGTTATTTTTAAAGTATTAACAAAATTTAAGTCTGGCTTCTTGAAAAAAAAATCAGTCTAAAATACTTATTTGATCTCTGTAGTGAAACCTCTAAAGTCCAAGAAACAGCTGGGGCTTGAGAGATACAGCCTAGTGGTAGAGTCTGTGCCTAGCATGTCCAAGGCTCTGGGTCCAATCCCCAATACCAAAAAAAGAAAAGGGAAGAGAAGAGAGAGAAGAGGTGAAAGGAGGGAAGAGAAGAGATGAGATGAAGGAGGGAAGGAAGGAGGGAGAAAGGAAGGAAGGGAGGAAAGAAGGGAGGGATGCAAAGAAGGGAAGGAAGGAAAGAAAGAAAAGAATAAAGTCTAAGAAACAAAATCCACAAAAGCACAAAGGGAAAGAAGTTGGAAAAGCCCTATAATGAAGGGAGTGCTGTAAACAGAACCTTTCTGGAGACTTGTTCTATTAAATTCTTTTTTTTTTTTTTCATTTTTCTTTTATTATTCATATGTGCATACAAGGATTGGTTCATTTCTCCCCCCCCTGCCCCCACCCCCTCCCTTACCACCCACTCTACCCCCTCCCGCTCCCCCCACTCAATACCCAGCAGAAACTATTTTGCCCTTATCTCTAATTTTGTTGTAGAGAGAGTATAAGCAATAATAGGAAGGAACAAGGGGTTTTGCTGGTTGAGATAAGGATAGCTATACAGGGCATTGACTCACATTGATTTCCTGTGCGTGGGTGTTACCTTCTAGGTTAATTCTTTTTGATCTAACCTTTTCTCTAGTTCCTGGTCCCCTTTTCCTATTGGCCTCAGTTGCTTTAAGGTATCTGCTTTAGTTTCTCTGCATTAAGGGCAACAAATGCTAGCTAGTTTTTTAGGTGTCTTACCTATCCTCACCCCTCCCTTGTGTGCTCTCGTTTTTATCATGTGCTCATAGTCCAATCCCCCTTGTTGTGTTTGCCCTTGATCTAATGTCCACATATGAGGGAGAACATATGATTTTTGGTCTTTTGGGCCAGGCTAACCTCACTCAGAATGATGTTCTCCAATTCCATCCATTTACCAGCGAATGATAACATTTCGTTAATTCTTAAATGTCTATAGGCTTTATCCACTGTACCAGAATTCTAGTGCTAGCTAGGACTGCATTTCACAAAACGCTTACTGAAGTGCTTAAAGAGGATATAGAAGGATGTTCACTGCAATGATTTGTATAAAGGAAAAAAACAGAAGAAATTCAAACATTCATCAAGAAGAAACTGGAGTGCGGCTCAGTGATAGTGTGCTTAGCATACACAAGGCCTGGGCCCTGGGTTTAATACCCAGCACAGATTAAAAGGAAAAAAAAGAAAGAAAGAAAAGAAGAGGTTGGTTACAACTTCATTAAAGTAAATGATGTTGGTTTATATATATATTGACATGTCCAAGATCAATTATTAACTGAAAAAACAAAAAATATATGTAATAGGGCTAGGGATATAGCTCAGTGGGAGAGTGCTTACCTAGCAGGCCTCAAGTTCAATCGCTAGCACCACAAAGAAAAAAGGAATAGTGGTGATTAAACTTTTTAAAGAAAGGATAGAACAAGTCTTAGGATATGGAAGACTATAAACTGAACTGTTACTGGCCAAGAATCCACAGTTATCACTGGACAGCAGAATGGCAAGAATTTACACTTTCCACACTTTATCTGTGATATTTAAATGCCTTATAATGATAATACATTGCTTTAAAATTAAAAATATAAAATAGATGATGTAACAGAACATGTAACAACAGGACAAAGTGAACACAAAATGCTAATAAACAAGAAAGCATCTTTTTTAAAAAAATAGTATGAAACAAAAATAATAATGCAAAAAGTATGTGAAGGATATTTTACTTCCATAAATACACACACACATCTATACATCTGTACCCATATACACTATGTATACCTGCATAGAAAAACATGTTGACAGTGGCTGTCTTTGGAAAGTATGGTTTTAGGGTTTTTTTGGTGGGAATAGGGTTTGAGTTTAGGGCCTTGTGCTTGCAAAGGAGGTACTCTACCACTTGAGCCACACCTCCAGTCTATTTTGCTCTGGTTATTTTAGAGATAGGGTTTTAGAACTATTTGCTGGCGTTGTCTAAGAACCTCGAACATCCTGATCTCAGCCTCCCAAGTTGCTAGGATTACTGGCATGAGCCACTGGCACCCAGCATGCTTTATTTTTGACTTAGATTTAATAAAGCTCATCTAAAATGAAAAGACATAATTGGGGCGGGGGGGACTGGAGTTTGAACTAAATTTTTTTTCAGTCCTGTGGCTTGAACTCAGGGTCTCATGCTTGCTAGGCAGGCACTCTAACACTTGAGCCATTCCTCCACTCCTCCAGCCCTGTTTTTGTGCTTTTTTTTTCCCCCCCGCCAAGATAGGGTCTCATGAACTATTTGTCTGGGCTGGGTTGGAACAGAAGTCCTCCCAATCTCTGCCTCCTGAGTAGCCCGAATTATAGGCATGAGCCCCCAGCTCTAGGCTGAATGATTATTTTATTTAGTGTTTTGTTTTGTTTCGTTTTTTGAGGCAGTGTCTCACCACTAGCTTTGCCTGAGCTGACTTTGAACTTGCAATCCTCTTGCCT